GACAGGCGGCCACGAGTGGGTCCTCCTCCTCCTCCTCCTCCTCCTCCCTCCTCCTCCTCCTCCTCCTCCTCCTCCTCCTCGACCCGCCGACAATGCCCGCGGGCGCCCCCGTCGCCACGGCCGGAGTCGCCTCTCGAAGGTCCGGCCGCGATGCAGCCTGTGGGACACGCTCGGGAAAGAGCTCGGGTCCAGGCGAGGCGGGGGCCGCTTCTCGGCGGTGGACAAACCTCCTCCTCCTCCTCCTCCTCCTCCTCCTCCTCCTCCTCCTCCTCCTCCTCCTCCTCCTCCTCCTCCTCCTCCTCCTCCTCCTCCTCCTCCTCCTCCTCCCCCTCCTCCTCCCCCCTGTTCCTCTTGCTCGTACCTCGTCGATGCGTGCTCAGAATGCTTGAGCGGAAGCCACTTGGAGCGACTCCAGCCTCAGTGGGCTGTCTTGAACTCTCGTGGGATCGACCACATAGTCTGGGCCAAACGGCATGTTGGATCTCCCCCCCTCGGCCCTGCACCAAGGGTACAGGGCAATTTTTAATCCACAAGATTTTTCATCATATGGGATTTGTTTTAATGCATGATTCATTCATGAATAAATTTATGCATGAACCCATCGTTGTTGTTAATGCTAAATCCCTGCATTCTCAATACGTGATCCGCACGCGGAGCACGTATTAAAACCGGCACTGTAAACGCTCGCCAGAAGGACCGTCGCCCCCCCGCGCGCCTCCACGCAGCCCCCCTGCGCGCCTGCGAGGGGCCCTTGGAGCAGGCCGGGGGACGTCGCCGGAGGCGCCGCAGGGGGCAGGGCCCAGCGCCGATCCGAGAAATCTGCTGGGCGATCTCAAAGGCTTTGTTCATTGAAGGGGCCCCAGGACACACAAATAAATACACACAAATACAAATATTCCCAATATTTTCTAATATTTTCTGGGTTTTTGTCTCCCCCCCACATTTCCCATAATTTCCCATTCTTTCCTGGGAGAGGACGATTAATTGTGTCTGTGTGCTTTTGCTCCCTCCTGATTCGTGTCTCTTTCGTTTCCTCCGGCGAGGAGCAGGTAAGGGTCAGCCCACGAGAGGGGGTGGGGGTGCCGTCAGGCCGAACTCCCTGGACGGAGCTCCCTCCAGCAGGAGGGCAGATGCCGCCCTCCCTGCCGAGACATGCGCTCTCCTGACGTATTCGGTGCGCGGCCCCCCGAATTCCCGATTCTTTCCCCCAGGTCACTTTTTCATCCCGAGCAGCTTTCTGACGGCCCCGGGGTCCAGAAGTTATACTACGGCCCCAGCAGCTTGTTCAACGGCTATTTGAAGCTGTAGTCGTGCCGAAACTGTGGTACAATCTGGAACCAATGTGGCTATTACGAGCAGACCGGCAACGGTTAGACAGTTTCCAAGCATCTTGTCATCGACAAATATTGGGGATATCCCATTCTTATTATTCCAGGGTGTCGAATGCCACAGGTTTGAGTACAGCGCGGGCGGACCGTCTGAGCGAGGCACTGCACAAGAGGCAGGCGCAGTCCTATGAGAACATCTGTTCTTTGCGAGACAACAGCTGGTTGAGATCTCTGGTATGCCAGCCTGGAACAAATGCACCAAAGCAGTGGCATCTGGTCCGGAGACGCGGCCGCCCCAAGCTGAAATGGGCCCACTGCGGGTACAGGCTATTGCAGTGAGGCTTAGAGTCGGCAGTCCATATCCCCCCTCGCCGTCGTCGTCCTCCTCCTTCTCCCCTCCCCTCCTGCCAATCGCGCACTCTTCTGCCCACGCGCCCTACCGGAAACCCGGCTCAGTGGCGGCAGTGGTGCCCACGCGCCGTGCCAAGGGCTGGCGCATGGCTTTTGAACTTGTACTTGCACCGGGGCCCAGTAAGGGCCCCACGAGGCCGAACATCGTCCTGGTTGTTTTAAGGCGTTTCACGTCTGGGTGAACGGCGCGGCCGCGACATGATCAGGCTCGAGCCTTCCCATCCGATGGGTGCCCCCGAGGGCCCCTGCGGGCTGCGCGCGACGCGCGCGCGCGAACCGGCGCGCGCTGCGCGCAAAGGTTGCCGATCAAGCCCTCCATCGCCCAGCGGTTTGTCGCATCTTTAGGGGACCTTGTCTGTCCCATCGCGCCAGCCATCCCTGTCGCGCAGCTGTCGAATCCGCGTCGAACGAGTCGAATCCGTGTCGAGCCCGTGTCGATCCCACGTCGGATACAGGAAAGTACCGCCACTTGTGACAGGCAAGGTCCCCCGCAGAGGCAGTTGAGCCCAGCGCAGCCTCGAGCAGCCTCTCGAGCTGCTCCCGCACCTCGAGGGCCTGGCGCGCCGGGCGGAGGGGCGATGCGGATTGAAGAGCGCTCGAGCCGCTCCAGCACCTCGATCGCTTTGCCATCGCATTTGGAATGCAAGCTTCTCGCGCGCTGCCGCCGTCGACGGCTCGGGCGGACGGAACAGCTGGCATGGCAAAGCCAGCCTCAGCGCGAACTGCTTCGGGACCCTGAGACTGCTACGACGATGCAGGGGCGGGGGCCCACCTCCTCTTTAATTCGCGAAAGGGGTGCGGGAACCGATGGAAACATAGAGAACTTGCCGAAAAAAGGGCCTGCAAGGCCGGGGCCGGCTGGCCAGGGCCCTCACTGCCGGCCGCGGTCGGAGTCGAGGGCCGTCGGTGCCAGTTGCCACGTGCCTCGCAGGGGGTGCCGATCCTGGACTGTTCCAGGAGCGAGGGCCTGGCCATCGCTCCGACGTGCATTCCCTGTTCTTTTTTTCGGTTTCGTGCGTGGTTGTTTCGCCAAATGGTCAGGGATGCTCCTCGAGGGTCCTAGCCGAGGGAAAAAGGCACACGTCCGAGCGATGCCAAGTTCCAGGAGCGAGGGCAGGGGAGCGGCAAGAAGGGGTCAGGCGCCCGCGCGCGCCGCGAACCTCGGGTCGGTCAAGCGGGCGCCTGCGCCGCAGGCACTGCCCTTTGCCTCCCCTCCCGCTGCCTCCTCTCCTCGTACCCCGCTGGACTCAGGTGACAACTCGGGCCTCCAGCGGCCGTTCGTGAGACGAAGGCAGAATCGTTACGACTCGCCATCGCTCGGACGTCCATTCCCTGTGTTTTTTTCGGTTGCGTGCGTGGTTTTTCGCCAAATGATCAAGGATGCTCCTCGATGGTCCTCGCCGAAGGAAAATGCACACGTCCGAGCGATGCCAAGACGAAATCTGACCAGAACGCTCTCAGAACGTTCGGGAACGCGCTGGAACGGATTTAACTCGCTTTTAGGCCAGTCCGATCATATCTCGGTCCTCCAGCGGCCGTTCGGGAAGCCATGATCAGCGGCCTAGGCGAGACGTAAGCCCAGAGCGGCCTAGGCGAGACGTGACCGCTGGAGCGCATCACGAGGCTGAAGACCGCCGCCGAGAACCGACAGAATGTCGCGATTATGAACGGCTGATGACCACCCAGTCGATCATCATGATGAACAACAACCATCTGAACCCTCTGATCATGACGAAACGCACTGCCTTTGATCATGAGCCACTCTGTCCTGAGGGAAACGGGTCCTGAGGGAAGCAGGAGGAGGAGGATGAGAAGGAGGAGGCGGAGGAGGAGGAGGCGGAGGAGGAGGCGGACGAGGAGGAGGAGGAGGAGAAGGAGAAGCAGGAGGAGGAGGAGGAGGAGGAGGAGGAGGAGGAGGCCCTGGGCCCCAGGGCCTTCCCCCGGGACGAGCTCTTCGTCCCAAGACGCCTTCTGACAGCCCTGGGAGCCGGGAACGGTCTCCCAAGATGCCGAACACGGCGAAAGACCTCAGGACCCATTTACCTCTGAACCTTCTGTTGCATCCTCGGAGGACCTTGTCTGTCCCGCCGCGGCCCCATCCGCGCCGAATCCGTGTCGAATCCATGTCGGACTCGTCGGGTCCGTTGCGGATCCGCGTCGGGTGCGCGCCAAATCCGCGTCGAGTCCGCATCGAGCCCGCTTCGGGCCCACACCAATGCTTTGGGGGGCAGGCGAGGTCCCCAGCGTAACACGGCGGCCCTCCCAAGCCCACCTCCGCCAATACACGACGTAATGCCGCGTCCAATGCCGACGACGGCCCCCCAAAACGCGGCCAAGCGAACTAAAAGCATCTTTGTTGGCAGGATCCTGCACGATCCAGCGCTCGGGCTGAGCTCGGGCGGGTGGTAACTAATGGAGGGTGGCCCAAAAAAGGGGAGGGCCCTACATGGACCCCTTCTGGGCCCGTTCTGGCTCCAGGGGGCGCCTCAAAGTGCCCCTCTAGGACCAGTTTCTTCACACCCCATTTAGGTCACCCCCTTTCCCAACGGCCCGATGAGCTCCGTTTGCGCTGATTCCCGTTTCCTGTCGGCTGAGACTTGGATCAAGGCCAAGGACAAACCACAACAATATTGAAACCGACATGGCGCTTACAACGAACAACGAAACGATGCCCGACGTTTCAAACAAACGTTGAGAACAGAAATCGATGCCAAACGAAAAGAACGACGAACCGGGGAGCTTATAACAGCAACGAACCTTAGGTCGGACATGTCCTCGTACAGGCGGATTTTGGACAAAAGATAAAGAATAATGCCCAAATATATGTGTATAGAGGTCTAGATCTAATCATCCCCAGACCACTTTTTTCCCTAACTAGACTCTGCCTAGAAGGGCTCTTACATTATATGCTTAAAGGGCCGGGCAGTGTTGCCCGCCCCGGGCGGTTCCCCCGGCATCCGCCCCGCGGTTCCCCCAGTGACGTTCCCTTAGCTTAGCGTTGCTTATCTCATCTTAGCTTAGCTTATCTCATCTTAGCTCAGGTTTATTCCCTACCTAGGCTCTGCCTAGAAGGGTTCTTACCGTGTTGGCTTAAAGGGCCGGGCAATGTTCCACGCCCCGGGCGGCTCCCCCAGGATCCGCCCCGCGGTTCCCCCAGTGACGTTCCCTTAGCTTAGCGTTGCTTTTCTCATCTTACTTAGCTTATTTCATCTTAGCTTAGCTTAGCTTTATCTTAGCTCAGGTTTATCTTAGCTTAGCTTACCTTCATCTTAACTTCGCCGAGCTTTAGCATAGCAGAGCACAGCATAGCATAGCAGAGCGTAGCACAGCACAGCGCAGCACATCATATCAAAGCAAAGCCCAGCATAGCACAGCATAGCATAGCGCAGCACATCACAGAACAGCACAGCACCGCGCAGCATAGCATAGCAGAGCAGAGCATAGCAGCAAAGCAAAGGCAAAGCAACAGCAGCGACAGCAAAGCAAAGCACAAGCAACGCAAAGCAACGCAAAGCAACAGCAAAAGCAAAGCAAAGGAAAGGCACAGCAAAAGCAATGTGCGACAGATGCCGAGCTGGCCTCGATGGCTTAGAGGGTTAGCTTAGCTTAGCTTAGCTTAGCATAGCGCAGCGCTGAATTAGCATAGCATAGCATAGCATAGCATAGCCATACATAGCATAGCATAGCATAGCACAGCATAGCATAGCGCAGCTTAGCATAGCATAGCATATCATAGCTTATCATAGCACAGCGCAGCATGACATATCATAGCATAGCATAGCATAGCATAGCATAGCATAGCATAGCGCAGCATATCATAGCATAGCATAGCGCAGCATAGCATGGCATAGCATAGCATAGCAACTAATGCTGCTTTCCAAGGGCTCCAACTTCTGGGTAGAGTCGCACTGGGGTAATTACTACTTTTGAATATTCCCCCTGTAGAGGGTCAGGCCCGACTTAAAACGAACCACTCGGCGGTGGACAAACCTCCTCTTCGTGAAAACGACCTAGGGCCGACATCGACGGACCTGGACCCGCAAACATGACGGCCGCGTACGCCCTCTCGCGAACAGAAAACGGCCAATTCCTGAATCGACGTGTCAAGGTAGGATTTGGACGCCCGAAATGGGTACGGAAAGGATGGATACAATGCCCAACAACAAAAGTTGCCCCAAACCAACAGCGGCCGCTGTTGGGCAGGCGGCCTTCTGCCTCGAATGGACACAGGCCGCGGCGGCGTGGACAGCAAGTCCTGTTCAAAATGAACAAGATCCGCTGTTGGACATCGTACCCATTCTTTCCGTGCCCATTTCGTTCGTACAAGTACAGTCATCGGCCTGACCAAAGGAACGATAAATAAGGAACGAAGCCCCTTTTTTTATCCCAAGGAATAACGCATAAAGAACGACAGGTAACAAATAACGCATAAGGAATTGTACATAACGCATGTAAGCCTAAGGAACGACCGAGCCGCTTTTGAAAAGTAGGTGTTCCTTATTCAAGCCGCTCACTGCAGGAGGTCTGCCCACCTCCGAGCCACGAGACGAAGCAGCAGCGAACCGCGAACCGCAGAGCGGAGCAGGGGAGGGGGCCCCCGGACCACGCCGGGCAGCGCCGCGGTCGGCCCTCGCAGGGCAGGCCCGCCGTCGGCCCTCGTCGCCGCGGGCCTCCCGGGAGGCCTGGAGATGCACCTCCTCCTCCTCCTCCTCCTCCTCCTCATCTCCCTCCTCCTCCTCCTCCTCCTTCGCCTCCTCCTTCGCCTCCTCCGCCTCCTTGAGTGAACAAATGGCGTCCTCGCGCCGTGGGGATCCTCGGAGGCCTCGACCCCTGCCCCGGGACCGACCTCCCTCGGGGCTCCTCGGGAGCCCTCGGGCCTTCTCAGAAGTCTGCGGCCTCTTCCTCGCCATCGCTCGGACGTCCATTCCCCGTGAGTGTCTCGATTTCGCGCGTGTACGTCTCGCTAGATGATTAAGAATGCTCCTCGATGGTCGTCGCCAAAGGAACATGCACACGTCCGAGCGATGCCAAGCTTCGGGGAAGGCTCACGGAACTTCTCAGAGAGCCGGCGAGCACTTCCGTCTCGAGGCGCCCGGCTCCCGCGGCGAGGCGCTGGCGGTGCGCACAGGGGCGTGGGGGCCGAGGGGGAAAGGCTTCCCAGAAGGGGCTGCTTCTGAGGAGGCGCCAGCCCAACGTCCGCACACCAGGCCTGCGCTTTTCGAGTAGAGGATCGACTGCATAACTGATGTACCCCAAAACTGATGTCCCATCGAACCTTGAAAAGATCAGTATACGGCTCCTCGGATCTACAGAGGTCTTTGCGCTCCTAGCAAATTCGATAGACAAAAAAGTTCCGGAGCAAATCAATTCTCTAGTCGATGCCCGATTCGAGCCTTCTGAGAGGCAGAGGCACTTTCTAGAGGCCTTCCCCCCTGCCCTACAACTCAACCCGTATCATCAGGATGAGCGGTAAGCATGCAAGGGCCGTGGAGGCCCATGTGAACGTTGTTCGGACGAGGCTGGCCAGCGAACGCCGCTAAAAGGATGGGCCGAAAGGACAAGGATGCAAGGGTATACCCTTGGGAAGGCTGCCCCTCCTTACTACGCGGGCTAACTATACCCCCCTCGTGCGCGCCGCCACAAAACGCGGCCAGCCGCCGCCGCGGCAGCACGGCCCCGCGGCCGGCGCGGCCGACGCAATGACTTCTTCGTGACCCGAACCCCAGAAGTCCGGACCCCTTTCCTGGGACCCGCTTTTCCTGCCGAGCCGTTTTTTAACGGTCCCGAGGCATGGGGAGAGGCTTGCGGATGCCATGACAGTGGGCACCCCGACAATCCTACCATTGAGTTGGACTTGCTGAAAAGTCGCAAACCTTTCTTTGAAATGTGCACAGCATGTGTTAGAAATATGGAAACGGTTTGACAACATGTTTCCTTCTCATAGGGCGCAAATGAACCTACCTCGTTTTTGACCACCCTCGCTTCCAAGATATACCAGGCGACGCCAAAATACGGCCTGCGCTGGTCAGGCCGCTCGACGAGGAGGCGCGTGGTATGACTTGGTTTTGCCTGGAAGCGAAAGCGGGGTAGGTAATTCACCCTCTGACTTCACAAGGAGAGGCCCCCGGAAACCGAAAATAAATAAAGAACCTCCCGTCGTGGTTTTTGTCCGTGCTCCGAAGGGGGTCTGGGCCCGGCGCGCCGCCAAGACCAGCGGCCAGCCGCAGCCGCGACAGCCCGGCCCCGCGGCCGGCTCGTTCGCCGGCGCCCCCGAGGGGGGGGGGGCGCCTCGGCTGCCGCCGCCCGGTGCTCCGCCCTCTCGGCCTCGAGCCTCCGGGCGGGGAGGGGCGCTGCCCCGCGCGCGCCGCCACGAGGCAAGACCCCCCTCGCTTTGGACAGCTTGCTGTAGGAGTGTATAATGTAGATGCTTCGTCCCACCACGCAATAATACAGTGATGCCCCACGTGTGATGATAATGATAATGATGATGATGATGATGATGATGATGATGATGATGATGATGATGATGATGATGATGATGGTGATGATGATGATGATATGATGTGATATTCGCCATTTGAGCTCAGTGTGTGCAGTACGTATATGTACATAAACGTGCCCGCGTATGCGAATAGGCATATTGCTGTGCCTTGCCAAGGCACAGCAACCAAGGCTTGGTTGCTTCTCCGCGCGATCCGCACGAACGCGCTTTACCGTCCCATAAGATAAGGACAAACTACGCTGCGCATGTAGGTGTATATGCAAAGTTACACATATAGCCCTTTTCGCACTTTGCCCCTTTGCAGGCATCATTGTACCCTTATCTACTCGACCCACTTCAACGGCACACGCAGGCCTCCTCTTCTCTTTGATCAAAAAACTTGTAAATGTGTAAATGACATCTCTACGACGACTCTAACGCTGCCCTGCTCGGAAGCGGCTTCAACCTTATCCCGCGCCCAAGTTCAGTCAACCTGACTCATAGACAGCCTCTAGCCCACGCGCGTTCCAGCTCAGATCCTACTCCTATCGCATCTACTCTATGATGGCATCAAAGGGTCTACGCCTTGTCCGGTCAGGGTTGTCCCTCGGGCAATAAACCCCGCACGATTGCCGAACAAAAACCCATTGGCCGAACGTGGGAAGCGCCGGTCTTTGCGCGCCACCTTTTACTGAGAGGGAGCAGGGTGGTGAGGAAGCACAAGGATGGCGCGCAGGAGCGGGGGGATAAAGAGGGGGGAAACTGGAGTTTTGCAGCGAAAACTTGAATGCCAGCGGCCACGATGACTGATCGGGCGGATTTTGCAGATGTGCGTAACTATGTGGAAAGAAATCAAAATCGGCAGGGCCAGCGTCGGCTGCAGGCAAATCTAACCGCAGCGCCGCGCCATCCAGTCCACGATGGGAGCGCGAGGTCGACCCGGATTGTGCACGCTGCACAAACCACATCGCCATAGACGCACGCCCCTGCTAAAACGCGATAGCGCGCGCTGCCGCCACCAAGCGCGGTGAAACAAATAATGGTGGCACCGCGCGGCGCATCGTGTTTTCCAACCGCGTGCGTCGTACGTTCGCCTGGCCAATATCCAGAAAACGATGTCCGTACTAGTATGGGAATGCTTTGAACATAGCATGGGCAAACCGCCACAAAAGTATGTTTCCTTGTTTTTGTTTAATTATCATCCTGTAGATGGGCATGCCCGATACAAATATAGGAAACCTGGACAGGACCCGCTTCTCCCCAAGCAAACATTTTGTTCGTCGGCGGCGAGGCAGAGGCGGTCCGATACAGCGAGTGGCAACTCAGGGCAACCGAATTGCTAATTTACCAGCATGCAAGAAGGGAAAAAGGACACCCCACGGCTAATGATGTTCCAACCTACTTCTTCCCAGCAACAAGAAAGTACCGAAACTGGTGGTTCTCGCGTGTCGAGCCCCGAGAGGCGACACCCGTTCGACACTGTTTCGATACTGCTCTGGGTGCTCGAAATTATTTCTGGAATCTGGTCCGCAAGTACGATGGGAGCAGCGTAACCCACGGCGAGCACACGCAGGGGCAGAGGGCGGGGGCAGGGCAGGCCAAGGGCTTGCCAGAGGGGCGTACGGCGGCGCCCACCTCTCGCCCAGCTCCGCCTGCCACAGGTCGGCGACGCGGTGCTCGCGCCGCTCCGCCTCCAGCGCGCGCCCGAGCTCCTGCGGGCCCCAGGGCCCCCCCCCCATGGTCAGATCGGGCATGTCCCCCTACAGGCGGATTTTCGTTTTTTTTTTTTTGTTGACAAAAGCAAAAACAATAATAAAAAACAAAGAAAAAGTCGAAACATACCCCCACATGGTCAAAACTAGTCAAAAAAGCGTCCCCAGAATATGTTTTTCAATACTATGTTTGGATATTCCTCCTGTAGGGGAAGACGCCCGACTTAACCCCATGGGCGGCGCGCACCGGAAGACGAGGCCAAGGCGAGGATCAAGTCGGGGGAAGACAGACCGGGGATAGCTCTGAGATCAGGGCTCCTGCGGGCCCTGGAGTGCGCCCCCCCCCCCCCCCTGGGCGGCGCGCGCACCGGCAGACGAAGCCAGGACGAGGACAACGTCGGGTGAGGAAACGCCGATGATCTCTCAGATCGGGCGGTTCTGGGGGAGCTCTCGGGCACTGCGGCTTCCTCAGAGCGTTCCGAAGGCTCTGAGAGCGCTCCGGAACACCCTGGAACGGATTCAGCCTCGACCCAACCCCACCCGAAACAAGGGGCTAGGGGGAGGGGGGAAGGCTTCTCAGTAGGAGGCTGCTTCGTAGAAGGCGGCCCTGCATCCACCTACAGGGCCCGCAGCTTCTAAGAAGCAGAAGCGGTGCTTCTGAGAAGCCTTACCCCCCCCCCACACACACCCCTCTGCGCGTGGCCGACCCAAGCTGATCCCAAGGGCGCCTCAGGGACTGGCCCGAAGGGTTGCCCCCAGAGAAAACCGCGAAGGCGTCCCTGTCGGCCCCAAAGACGACTGCAAGGCGGACCAGAAGAGGACCCCAAGACGGCCCAGGAGGTCCCCGAGAGGGCCTCCAGATCGGCCCCCAAGATGACTCCAAGGCGGCCCAAGAGGATTCCACGACGGCCCAAGACGCCCCCCCCCAGCGTGCTGCAGGATGACCTCTGGAAGGCCCGAATCACGGATACCCCGAACAGGGTCCATCAACTATCGCGCTCTCGCAGCGTCGGGCTTCCGGCATCTGGAGGAGGGAGACGGAGGGCGCGGCCGAGGGGCGGGGCTCACGAGGGAGCGCAGGAGGGAGGATCGAGGGGGCGAGGAGGAGGAGGAGGAGGAAGAAGAAGAGAATTTTTTTTTTTTGAGCTCCACGCCCAGCTCCGCTACATTCATACGTCTGGACCTCTACAGCGGGGGGAAAGGCCCAAACTCAGAACAGAACCGCTACAGTGCACCACGACGCAGGCGACGGAAGTGGCCTATAGCGGCTATGTACAACGGGGAGGCCGCTGCCCTCCCCGACCGAGTCCGCGTCCTTGAGGGGCGTGCCGAGGAGCACCGCGTGCCGCCGCCACCGCGGCCACCACCGAGGGCGGCGCCATGCCGCAGTCCACGGCCTTCGCCATCAAGGCCAGCTCCTCGGCCGAGAAGGGGTCGGAAGGGGCCTCAGCCTGCGGCGTCGCCGCCGCCAGCTCCAGCCCTGCAGCCTCCCCAGCAGAGGCGCACGACCCCGCCGAGCCGCCCGACTCGAGGCGAGGGGCCACGCGCCGCGCAGCGCCCGCGGCCGCCGCAGGAGCTCCGCCGGCTTCACGAGCCGGCTCCGCCCCCCGCCGCAGCCCGTCCGCCCAGCTGTCATCCATGTCCGAGTCCGCCACGTCGCCGACCGCGGGCCCCGCAGGCCCCGAACCAGCAACCACCGGCGCACCGGCCCCCGGAGGAGCAGCTGGGCCCCCAGCGCCTCCGCCCGCCGCCGCCGCAGCCGCCGCGCTGCGCTCCGCCGCCCGCCGCGCCGAAAGGCGCTGGCGACGGCGGCGCCTGCGCGCCGCTTTGGCGGCCGAGGGCGGCCGCTCCGGTTCCACGTCGCGCACCTCCGAGTCGTCCCCAGCAGCCTCCGCCGCCTCCGCCACGCGGCCCGCTCGGAAGAGCGCAGCCGAAATGGCCGAGCGGGCGACTGCCGCCACCGTCCGCCTCGGGGCGCGCGCCTCGGCGGCCCCGCGCACCGCGGCCTCCACCAGGAGCGCGATGTCGCGGGCCGCCCAAGCCCCTCTTGGCGCCGCCATGCCGCGCGGGCGGCGGGCGACGGCCGTGCGACCGCTTGAGCCAAAATGAAGAAGAGGAGGAGGAGGAGGAGGAGGAGAAGGAGGAGGAGGAGGAGAAGGAGGGGGAAGGGCAAGTCGCGAAGGTGTGGGTCGGGGCGAGGGGGCGGGGGGCAGCGAGGAAGACAAAAGAGATTGCAGCAGCAGCGCAGCGAGGCAAGTGGCGGGGAGGGCACGGCGGAGGGGGCCAGGGACGAGGAGGAGGAGGGGCGTAGGGGCAGAGCGCAGGGCGCGGAGTCCCCGTGAAGGCGGAGGGCGGGATCCCACGGGCCCTAGGTTAAGGTGGTCTAGCGACCACTCTCTGTCTCTGTCTCTCTCTCTCTCTCTCTGAGACCTGAGGAGGCGGCAAGGGAGTGGAGCAGGATGATCAGCACGGACCCACAGTTGGATTCCGGAACGGGCCCCCAGTGGCAACATCCCCGAAGCAAGGTCGAACGAATGCAGGACGCCTGAATCAAATCCACGGCGGCGGACCAAGAGAAGAGAAGGTCCCGAGTCCAGCTGCCCCAACCGATCCCTCACGGGATGGGATGGGGGCCGAAACGTGAAAGGGCGCCACACGGCCAGAATCGAACCGATAAGGCGGAGCGGCGATCGAAATGAATCGGATCGGCGGAAATCGGCGGTCGAGTCAGGAGAAGACGACTCGGTGGAAATCGGCAGGCTAAGAGGCCCTCGCTGAGGAAGCGGAATCCGAATCGGGATCCGAAGTCGAATCGAGTCGGCATCAGTAGCCATCGACATCGATCGAATCGATGCGATTCCATCGAAACGGGCCCTGCCTACACGCACTTAGGGCCGCCATCAAGGCCCTGCCTACACGCACTTAGGGCGGCCAGCGAGGCCAACCCGCCGCACGCGGAGGACGCCCGAGACCACGCCCGGGCCAGACGCCCGGAGGGCGGAAGGCCACAGCCCGGAGCCTCAAGGACCGACAGGAGGGGGCTCCAGGGGCACAGAACGCCACGCCAGGGCTTCGGAGGAAGCTCAGGGGAGCCTCCCATACCAGCCTGTCGGCTCTTGCGAGGCGCTGCTGATCGACGCCAGTCGGCATCATTCGCGGCGCTAAGTCGACGCGAAAGCGACGCCAATCGGCACTAACCGACGGTACATCAGCACTGTCTCATCGACTCGCCGACGCTAAACGACGCTAGCCGACACTATAGACAGAATTCAAAGGGTTTACCAGGCTCAGAGGAGGGGGACTCCAAGACTGCACGGGAGTGAGAGGGGCGAACCGGAGGGGGTGGGTAGGGTGAGGGCTACCGCTCCGCCTTGGACAAGCATCCCCTCACCTCCCACACAGACTACGACACTGCACTAGAGCGGAATAGGGTTGCCAAGCGTGGATGACCACGAGAAGGATGAGGACGAGGACGAGGACGAGGATGAGGATAGGGACGAGGACGAGCGAGGGCGAAGAAGGTGGACCAGGAGGGAGGAGGGGCCTGCCTCGGAGAGGAAACCCTCCAACGGGCGCCCAGGGCCGCCGAACGCAGACATCCGATGGCCTGTCTCTGCTCGACCCGCAGGCCGCAGGAGGTCGCGGCCCCCTCGCAGGGGACCGCTGCTCCTCCCGAAGCCTGGGGGCGGCCGCCGCCACCCGGCGAAATCGCCACCGAAGACCCTCCGAGGGCCCTCGGAGGGCATCCGCAGGCCCTCGGAACTGAAGGGGCCCTGTGACACACAAAGAAGTACACACAAAGAAAAAGGATCCCCATATCCTCCCATATTTTCTGGGTTTCTGTCTCCCCCCCCACCGCCCATATTTTCCCATATTTTTGGTGGAATCGACGATTCATTGTGTCCGTGTGTTTTTGTTCTCCTCCTGAAGAACGCCCACCCGCGACCACCAGGAGGGCCCCGCTCGGCCGCCGAAGAGGCCCGCAGAGGGGGCCACGCGCGGCGCTCCTCGCAGCGCTCGGCCGCCTCCGCGCGCGCGCGGCGCTCCGCCTCCAGGACGTGGTCGAACTCCTCGTGGCGCGCCTCCCGCGGCCCCCGGCAGGAGGGCACCGACGGTGCGGCCACCACGCTGCCATACTTTTTTAGTCAGCGGCCGCGGGCGAGCGCGCCGGCGGCGTGTCAGGTCCAAGCGGGCTACGCAGAGACGAATTATAGGCAGAGGAAACGCGGGCAAAACACACAGAGCGACGCGCGAGGCGACGCGCGAGACTACCCTGCGAGGAACTACGCAACAACGAAGGGGCCTCTCTGGCCAAGGAGAGCCTTGGCCACGAAGAGGCCTCCCGACCCGGCCCGAGTGCCACGGAGCCCCTCCCGAGGCCCGCGCACTGGAGCTCCTCCCGAGGCCCGCGCACCGGAGCCCCTCCCTTTGGACGCCCGACATGGGCACGGAAAGAATGGGTACAATGCCCAACAACAAATGTTGCCCCGAACCAACAGCGGCCGCTGTTGGGCAGGCGGCCTTCTGTCTCGAATGGACACAGGCCGCGGCGGCGTGTACAGCGAATCCTGTTCAAAATGAACAGGATCCACTGTCGGGCATCGTACCCATTCCTTTCGTGCCCATGTCGTTCGTGCAAATCCTCATCCCAGCTCCTGGACTGCACACGCCTGCCGCACCGATCCGCGGCCTGGGCTCATCCGGGGCCCCGGAGCAGGATCGGCGCAGGCGCCAACCTGGCTTGGGCAGGGGAACCCATGTGAACATCGTTCAGCCGATCCCCATCCCTAGCGGCGCGGCCTGGGCCCCACTGGCCGATGTACCCCCCCCCCAGATGGGGATATGGGCCGCTCCCTTCGGGCTTCGAGTGGGGCCTCCCCAACTGGGGAGGTAACTTGGTGGGGGTCTCGAAGGGGATGGGGATGGGGATGGGGGTCGGATAAACGCTACCAGCCACGTGCGCCGGATCCTGGGCGCGGGACCAGCCCGACCAGCATCGGTGCGTGCGGGCGCATGTGTAGTGCCCTCCGGCCCAGGGCCGCGGCAACGGGCGGGGCACGGTTCGGGAGCGGGGGGGGGAGGGGAGCAGGGAGAGGCAAGGCGAGGGGGGAGGGGGAGATGAGAGAGGAGGATCGGGGAACGAAGAATGACATAAACATAAGAACTCGGAAGTCCGCGCGGATTTCTCGGAACCGCGCTAGACCCCCACCCCTTGCGCGCGGAGCGCGCTAGGGGCGGCGCCGGAGGCGCCGCCAGGGGCGTCCAGCGCGGATCCGAGAAATCCGCGCGGACCTCCGAGTTTTTATGTTTATGTCATTCTTCGTTCACCTAGAGGAGAGAGGAGGACAAGCTGGGTGCGCACGCGCTGTCCGACATCCTACCCCTCCCTACCATCCCTTCCCGTTGCGCTGATGCCAGTCTCTACCCGCGGACGGGTGCCTTGGCGGACCTGGACCCCCCAAGTGGCCGCATCGTGCGATGCGCATCGTGCGCCGGACGAGGAGGAGGAGGAGGAGGACGAGGAGGAGGAAGAGGACGAGGAGGAGAAAAAAAGGATGAGGAGGAGAGGGGGTGGCAGGATAAGCAGGAAGATGAGCCATGAACAATAATCAGAACATGTAGATGGAACGGACGATAACCAGCAGCAGGAGTAGCAGGACTGGTCAGAGGTTGGCACGACCGCCCTCTGCACGCCCAAAGCACGCTGGAAGCGTAAGAGAGCAACGTGACTACGTTTTCCCTGGGATGGGGCCCCTTGCGAATGGTACTCCCGTTGGCCAGGTTATACTTGTCTTTGCCTGTCCTGGGGTCTTCCCGACGACGAGTGCAAGCTTTCCCGCGTTCTGCTAGACGCGTAACGCTTGCATTCAAAACAGTTCAACGGCCTCGCCGTCGTTGAAAAAATCAAAAACAAAACATTTGTGTCATACATCCCCAAGAGGGTCAACGATAATGGTGGAAACATCACCGCAGTTACATGGGGGGAATGCAGGAGTGGCGAAAGGTACGCTTCCACAGAGGAAAACCGAGCACAGCCAAAGCCTCTGAGAGCTCTCAAGGGGGCCTAGCCAGATTCGGCAGCCAGGCCCACCTGCGAGGTCTGGCAGGGCATGGGACGGAAGGGCAGGCGTGGGATGGAGACAGAGACTGGGTGGCGGGATTCTCGCGCTTCAGGCCTGCGTCGCACCCTGGTCCTCTTGCTGCTGGGTTGTTGCCAGGAGTTCGGCGGTGGACAAACCTCCCTTTAGTAAACCTCACCTTAGTGAAAACGGCCTGGGACCGAAACCGACGGGCCTGGACCCGCAAAAACGACGCCCGCGACGCCCCCTCGCGAACCGAAAACGGCCAAGTCCTGACTCGACGTGTCAGGGCAGGAGGCCTGTCCACCTCCGAGGAGTGCCCCTGGCCCAAGGTGCCCCCCAGGATTTTTCCAAGCACGCCCCCGCGGCCTCAGCGAGCACCCTTCACGCGGACCCGCGGACCGCAGGAGGGCTCCCAAAGATGGACCGGAACTACTGGAAGCACCTTTTCTTGGACGCCCGCATTGGGTAGGGAAAGTATGAAGGGGCCCTGGGACACACAAATCAATACACACAAATCACAGGATTCCCCATACTTCCTCATATTTTCGGGGTTTCTGTCTTCCCACCCTACTTCCCATACTTTCCCATATTTTCGGGGGGAATCGACGATTAATTGTGTCTGTGTGTTTTTTTCCCTCCTGAAAGTATCGGGTCAATGCCCAACAACGAACGTTGTCCAAAACCGACAGCGGCCGCTGTTGGGCAGCCTCCTCCTCCGCGGCTCTCCTCCGCGGCTCTCCTCCTCTTCCTCCTCCTCCTCCTCCTCCTCCTCCTCCTCCTCCTCCTCCTACACTCCCTCCTCCTCCTCTTCCTCCTCCTCCTGCTCCTCCTCCTCCTCCCTCTGCCCCTCCCCATCCTCCCCACGAGTAGGGAAGGGTACGAGGAACAGCGACATGACGAGTATAAACACAAGTAACGTATACATAGATGTACACTTATTTGCATGTCTATATATATGTATATATATATATATATATATATATATATGTGTGTGCACAAACCTCTTCGGAAGGAGATAGCGGGAAAGAGAGAGCGAGATACACAGATAGAGAGAGGGAGAGAGAGGGAGAGAGAGGGAGAGAGAGGGAGAGAGAGAGAGAGAGAGAGAGAGAGATAAAGAGACAGAGAGAGCAAGAGAGAGAGAGAGAGATCCGCCCCGTTCGTTGACGCAGGAAGGCGGACTGGAGGAGGGAGGAGAAAGAAGGAATGATGTAGAACGAAGAAGAGACAGTATCGGCCCTCCCGCCTGGCCAAAAGCTGATCAACATCTGTCCCTGAACACTGTCGGGGCCTGACCCGCTTGTACGAAGGCTCCAGGATGTCCAGAGAGAACGAACAGGACATGATAGAGCCGCCGATATCTCGACTGGCCCTCCTTCGATCTCTCACTCTCTCTCTTCTCGTTCTCTCTCTTGCTCTGCTCAACTGGCCGACCCGCCCGCCTGGCTGCCGACCACCTCCGAGATCAGGACCTCGCGCTGGCGACGCTCGCTCTCCAGCTGCCTCTCCAGCTCCTCTGGCCGCGGGGATCATCCGGAAAAGAGTAGGCGTGGACAGGCGGGCGCAAGGGAGGGCACCAGCCATGCACCTCGCAGGCCATTGTTCTGGGGGATCTGGGATCCTCCCTCCCTCCCTCTCCCTCCCTCTCCCTCCCTCCCTCCCCTCCCCTCCCTCCCCCCCTCCCTCCCCCTCCTCCTCCTCCTCCCCTCCCTCCCTTTCCTCCTCCCTTTCCTCCTCCTCCTCCCTTTCCTCCTCCCTCCCCTCCCTACCCTCCCTCCCTTTCCTCCTCCTTTTTCCGCCCTCCTCCGGCGGTAGGGTCCGGCCGGCGCTCCTGGACCCGCGCCTCCAGAGCTGCGGCCCTCCTGTGCCCGCGGGCGTCGGCGCAGGCCTGCAGGGGGGCGGCAGAGGGGCGGCGGCGCCCGGGGGGGCCGCGGGGCGGCGAGGGTCCCCGGGACAGGGGCGCCGCAGGCGGCAGTCAAAGCCCACAGGAAATCCTCCTCCTCCTCCTCCTCCTCTCCTCCTCCTCCTCCTCCTCGTCCTCCTCCTCCTCCTCCTCCTCCTTTTCCTCCTCCTCCTCCTCCTCTTTCCCTCCCCCCCTCCTCCCCGCGCGCGGGTGCAAAAGACAGCCTTGCAAAGTATGCGTTTTGTTTGGCTGGGTTTCGACAGTTGGCTGACGGATGGGGGAATGTTGGGGGGGTCTGGGTCTGGACTGGTGCTGGCTCGATCTGCTTCTACCTACCTGTCGCGCAAGCAGACTGGGGGGAGGGGCCCTGGCCAGTTGCCAAAAGCCAGCCGCCAAAATCATCCAAAATCTGGTCTGGGGGGGGGAGGGGGCTGGACGGGGGCCCACGCCGAACGGCGACGCAAACACACAAAACAAACTGCGACAAAGCGCCCCATCCTGGCCATGGTGCTTGAGTGTAAAATCGGCGGCGAGCCATCGGGGTGGGGTGAATGGGTGGTAGGTCGTCTGGGAAGTCGGCGGGGTTTCCCAAAAACCCTCGCGCTTTCTGAGCAATCTCCCAGGCTTTCCCTGAAACCACAAATTGTTATTGTCAACGGACGCGAGGGCGTCCGGAAAAACCCGCCGTTTTTTGAGAAGGCCTGCCCCGTCCCGTTTTCCCACCTGAGCGCGTCGCCGATCGGCGATCACCGTGTTGTCCGGTGTGTGTGTGTGCGTGGGGGGAGATGCCGGCCGATAACCAAACATTTTCGCTGTGGGCATCCCCGTATATGCCAGCGCGCCCAAATACAGCGCACTACGGACCCGCGCAACAGACAAGGTCAAGGACGCACTCGTGGACGACTTCGGCAATAACAGAAAACAATGGGGCCATCAGGCTTGTTTTGGGCAGATTACGACAGTGACTGATGCGGAATAAGACGGACTCCGCGAGACGAGCGTGTGGCAACCCGGCTTCCAACCACGGATATACCAGCGCCAATGCTGAGGAACCGTGAAGTTCTGGCGTCGCAAATTTCAAGAAAGGCATGCGCAAACTGTTTAAGGCCCGCGCGGATTTGTTGGGTCGGCGCTGGCGGCGCCGCCAAAAGGGTCGGCATGGAAGGTATGCGTCTGGTGTCCCGGTCGTGCTTCGTAGAAATGCTGCAGTTTGTCCGACACGTCGGATCTCAATGGGACGAACAAACGCGGGGTGGCGTAAAAGATACGGGCTCTGGAAGAAAAGAATCGTGTAGAGCGCCGGCGCACGAAAACGCCAAAATCCGAAAATTGCCGAAAAGTGCCCAGCGATCGCCTGGCACCACCAGGGCGCTCGGACGCGCAATGGCGCCTTGCCCGAAGGCAACGACACTTCGAATCGCGGGGCGGCGCCTGCCTGATTGAAAATCAACGGGGCGGCGACGGTGATTAGCGCCGACGCCCGGCCGCCAAGGACTGGCAAGGGAAGGTGTTTGGAGGCAAGGGCGAGCCAATGTGTTTGTAGGCAAGGGCGAGCCAGGGCGCCCCTCTATCTGTCGAGCCGATGCGGGCCTGCGGGCAAGGCAGTGTGGACGAAAATGGGGCGCAGCAGAGGGTCGGTTTGTCAAGCAACTCACGTCGCCGATTTTCCATGCGCCTCCTGGCAACGAAAGCGGCCATGCGTCAAGGACTTGCCCTTCGTCGGGGCGACCGCAAACAGCTGCGCGCAGCAGGGTTTGCAACCCCCCATTTCCTTCCCCAGCCATTTCGTCCGACCCGAGCAAGGCGGATAGTCCTTATCCCCCCCTCTGTCGCCGTCGTCGCCCCCGTCCCCCGCCCTGCCTGCGCCCGTTTCCAGCGGCCGCTCTTTTCGTCGACGACGACGACGACGCGACGACGGAACGAGGACGAGGACGACGGACGGCGGACGGCAGACGGCGACGGCGGCGACGACGACGCACTGCGGATGCCCTGTGGGGGAGGGGGTGCTGCGCAGGCACTCTGTAGTCGACGACGACGACGACGACGACGACGACGACGACGACGACGACGACGACGACGACGACAACGACACGAAGAAAACGAAGACGACGACGACACAGACGACGAAGACGACGACGACGACGACGACGACGACGACGACGACGACGACGACGACGACGACGACGACGACGGCGGCGGCGGCGGCAGCGGCGGCGGCGACGACGACGACGACGACGCCTGAAAAGGGAAACACACATTCGCCTCGCATTTGTACGACCTTTATGACAACTTCTATACAAGAGGGAGTCGTTTTGAGGCTGTCACGCAGGGGGGTGCACGATCCCCTCGGCGGCGCCAGCGACGACCCCCTGGCGCGCGTGATTGAAAAGAAGGTTTCGCACCCCCGCGGGGTCTATTCATCAGCACCGAGGGGAGGGTGTAGCCTTTCGTTAATCACAAGCTGACACTAGAAAAAGAACATGTCACGGGAAGGTTGCACGAACCGGAAGCCTATGAAAACGTTATGAAGCTACAGAGCCCCCCGTCCAGCCCGCGGCTCCACCTGCGCGTAATGGTGTAGAGAAACTCCCTGGAGGCCGGATTCTGATGGGAATTTATGGAACTCACAAAACTGCAACCGCTACGGCTCCAGCGCGCACGCGGGTCTGCTTCACCAACGGGGATCAGATCATGCTTACTATCTCGCAACTGCTTGGCCATTTTCGGGCGGGTCTTGAAGACGGGGGCCGCGACCGTCTTGGCGCGAGCTTTCTGTTTAGCTCTGGGACGCGTTCGCGAGCCTCGTGGGGCCTCCGAAATCCTCGGAGGAAACCTCACAAGCCCGAACTCTCACGACTGAATTCAAGGACTCCGAGGCCAGGACCGCCTCGACAGCCCCCATCTCCATCTCGATGCGCGCGGCAGTCTCCCCCCCAGCTCGCCCGCAAACTCGCGCCCAAACCAAGCGAAACAATTCGCCTCACGCGAGGGCCTCGGTCGGGCTCACGTGGGACTCGGTATTGACGATGGTGGATCTAACTCTGAGATGCTTCTGAACTCTACGCCACTGGTTCTGCGACATCGCGGGGAAGCCGTGGGAACCATTTTCCCACGTCAGCTACGCGCGCGACGAGACCGCGACGAATAACATAGGACCACCCGGCGCAGGAACCTCAAGAGAGTCAACTACTCCCACTTGTCCACAATCTCAGCGCCCCACGCAGCGCCTGTGGAAACCCGAGCGGTCCTGAGATCTGCATTGGGGCCACCGATGTTGAAAGTCTGGAAAACCATATGCGCCCACGAAGCTCGACGAAACCGCGCCTGCTCTGACTGCTTCCCACCTGGGGCATCGTCTTCTCCGTCCGACGGTTGACCCTGCTTCGTCCGTGAAGATGCCGCGCGAATTCACAAAACAAGTCGGCCTCCTCTTGTGGAGCCGAGACTCTGGTCCACCCTGCTGGCGTCAAGCCTCTCAACCAGACTGCTGGCCGTCGGCCCGGGCCCTTGCCCTTGCCGCTTGTATCTCGATGCCGGCGACAGAGTGTCATAAATTATTTGCCGAGCGTTCCCAGATGCGGTGAGGGGTGATCTCGATGCGACCGCCGTCGCAGCGGTCGCAATCCACGCAGAATCCGGGGGCTGGGCCACCTCCTGCACGCGCCGTTTCATCCAGCCCCCGCCGCAACAAACATTCATCGTGGCCCCTGCCCATCGACGCGACCATGCACCCTTAGCTCGCTCAAATTGTTTCCGAACGTCTGTTGGATACTGCCCTGCTCTGCTTCATACCTTGCGGCAACAAATAATCGGCGAAATCTGCCCAGTTCTCGCCCAGGTCGAGAGCCACAGCTGCAAGGATCTCCGGTGCGTCCTGTAGCAACCCCCGGGCTCCAAAACCCAGATGCAAGGATCCCTCGATCCATCCAAGATCGGGAGCGGCCAAGAGGGGGATGCCGTAGAGGGGGGGGTGCAAATCATGACTGGCGGGTTGAGCGCGGCCCAGAGGGGGGGCCAGGGACGCAATGGAAGAAGAAGAGGCGCCATGAGATCTGGGGAGATATCATGGCCCCCGCCATGATATCCACCCCACCCCCCCCTAGTCGTCACCCCCCTCTTCGCCGCCCCCGACAAGAGCGCAGTGACCGTGGCCCTCGCGGGGCCGGTGGCGCCCCCCCATGGAAGTCGAGGGTTGCCGAGCGCGCGCGCGCAACGTGAACTGTCCAACCGCGAGCGCCAAGCTTGCGACATGTAGGGCCGTCAGAAATGATGGCTATCACCTGGCTAGCATCTTGAACACATGGGCGATTGCTGGGCCCTGGCCGCCCAACTCCAACTGCAAGGGTGTCCAAGCAACGCCCTGGGACAGAACTGGCGCACGTACTTGCTTCCCAAGGCGCTTCTCAAAGCTTGAACTGCCGACTGGCTCATGCCAGACGCTGGCGCATCATACTGTACCTTGGCCATGCAAACACGAAGCAATCACACGACGTGCTGCGCGCTTGCCACTGCGCCCTGCACCCATGTGCTGAGGAGCTTCGCCTACCTGATTGCATGCGGTGTGTGTTATTGTTGTTGCTGTGGGTCGTGCGGGCATGTTCGCGCGCCTCATTCTCCTCCCAGATTGACTCTTCGTTGGCGACAGTGATCTCGCTGTTGTGCAGTGCCGACTCGTGTGCGATATCTCTTGCCAGATACATGTCCCCTGCGATGGTATTGATCTTGCGTGCGATGCTCGGGTGCGCCTTGTTGCAAAGAATGCCCCAGCGGATCCCCGCTCTGGTGAGGGCCTACAGGAGGACCTGGACGGAGCCAGAGGAGTAGTGCGTAACATCACCAGCTCATGAAGTAATAATTCCTGCTGGGTGGCACGCGGTATGAGCAACCTCCAAAAGGTTGCAAATATAAAACATGCGGGGGCCGAGTCCAAGCTTGGACTGGCAGTGAAAAGCATCGCTGTTCTCGAAAAAGCACGAGCGACATGGCCAGCAGCATTCTCCATCAGAAGCACGTCTGGAAGAAACCAAGAACCAAACCTAGTTCGAACAGCCTCTCATACCCAACGGAAGCGTAGAAGGCGTCGGTGTCCCAAAGACGACTGGCGGGGACTGTGAGTGGGGCCTTTGCGTAGGCCTCGTCGGTGGACAAAAAAAACGAATGCGTGCCACTCTTGGGCGCGAAGGTCGCCTTGTCCAGCTTGTCTGCCATTTCTTCCACCCGCCCATTGAGGTAGGCAGATTCGCAATGTCGAGCTCCACAGACGCGTTAAATCTGGCAGCAAGCCAGTTGAATGGTCGGTAGCGGCACCTTTTCTCATGAGAGCACCGATGGCGATCTGAATTTGCCAAGGCCATGCGCCTTCAGCTTCTCAACTGCTCCGAAATCGAGTCCAACACGAAATCCCGGCTGGAGGCACATGCAACAAATCCACCGAACTACTCAACTCCTGAAACTGTCTTGGATTGATCCGCTTCACTGCCAAGTCCACGTCGTTATCATGCAAGACCGACCACGCTTCTGACTGCGCACGATGATGGGCTTGCTTCTCAAGAGGTGGATGAACAAACCCTGCAGCTGCAAAGCTAATCATCTTCGATGACCAGTTCTTTTGTCAACGCTCGGATTTGTGCTCCATGATGTTCAGAAGGTTGGTCGTGCAAGCGCGCAGGCCACAGTACTCCGTTCTGATGCGGGTCTCGGGCTTCACATGCTTGTGCGGTTTCCCTTGTCCGTGTTCGAGCGACTCGCGAATCCCAAGATTGAAACTCGGTGTAAGAGCCTCGAGAAGCCGTCCGCTCCAGAGCCTGCGAGACCTTGCCGGCTGACTTCCCCATCATCTCGGATGAGGACGACAGGGACGAGACGGACAGAGAAACAGAACGAGGAGTAAAGAGGACCATGACGACGAACAAGAACGGGAAAAGGAATGGAAACGCGGAGGAAAAAAAGACGAGAACTAGGACGGGTGGGGTCGCTGAGCATACGCGTGCGCATGAAAATCGAGCACGAGGCAGGCTAGGAGCACGACGAGGGAGGCGGGAGGGAGGGGAAGGGCAAGGAGGATGAGGAGGAGGAGGGAAAGTGAGAAATAAGGGGCCCGGACCAAAGCCATCCGGCTGAACAAGCGATCCGATACAAAAAAAAACGTTCGATCATCCGCCCACCCGTCGATGGCGAGGCAAAAAGGCAGAAGCCCCTCGAATACGAGAAGCTCACCTGGCCGTGGGCCAGCACGACTGGATGAGCAGAAACTGCATACGGTCGGGGCCCTGATGAAGGAACCCTTTTCGCTGGGGAGGGGCTCCGTGTTCCATGATTGTTTCGCAGCTTGCCTCAGGGTTTCCTTATGTTTTCGATGGGGAATCGAAGTTTAACTTATGGAACAAAGGGGCCTCGTTCCTTATTTCGGGTCCCTTCGGTCAACGCCCCGACTGTACGGCAAGTTCGTGTCGTGCCGACTTCAACACTGGTTTCTGATTCCGCGGCCGTTTCCGGACGATCGGCCGTTTCCGGAACGTCAGATCGTTCAACATCGACCGATTCTTGATCGCTGGCTGCGTTCCACGTTGAACGCCGGCGGCGGGATCGCCGCCCGTCGGCACGACGCGCGAACCTACTGTAAACACCAACGTTCCGAGGTCCGCGCGGATCTCGACTCGTAGTCCGGCGACGATCCCTCTTCAACTGGAGCGCGCGTGGATGAAGGGGCCCTGGGACACACAAATAAATAGCCACAAATAACAGGATTCCCTATATTTTCACATTTTCTTTGGGTCTTTGTCTTCCCCCCTCACTTCCCATATTCTCTCATACTTTCTGACTACCTACCAGACCACCCCAACCCAACCCGAAGACCCGAGTTTCGGGTTGGGGGGGATATGGGCTCCATATGTGTTTTTCCGATGTTCCCGGACCTCCCCCCACTAGAAATCGAGGGTAAATCTGAGCCTTCGGGTTGGGTTGGGGTGGTTTGGTGGGTGGTGACTTTCTGGGGGATCGACGATGACTTGTGCCTGTATGTTTGGTCCCCTCCCGAGTGGAGCCCGCCAGGGGCGGCGCCGCAGACGCCGCCCAGCAGGGCGACGACGGCGAGGGCGAGGGCGAGCACCAGGGAGGCGGCAAGGAGCCGAGGTGCCCGTCGCTGGAGCGCGCGGTGCCCGGCGTGGGCGGCACGCGGCACGAGGTGGTGAGGATGCGCGGCAAGGGTGCGAAGGGCCTCGGAACGCCATGTCGACATGTTCCGTGCGGAGCGCAGCAGAATGCCGAAGCATGCCGAGTACCGAAGGGGCAAGGATGCCAGGGTAGCCTCGGTAAGTTGCCCCATCCTTGCTATCGTGGCTGACTGCACGAGCAGCACGACCCCGAGCGTGGGCGTCAGCATTTTTCTGCCCGCGGAGGCCTCCGAAGCCGTCGCAGTGACCCCCGAAAACTCGAGGCCTCCAGTGACCTCAGGAGGCCTCCGGGGACCTCCCCGCACGTTCGAGGGGTTCTTCTTTTCAGTTCTGGCGTGTTTCGTCAGCTTCGGCATCGGGTCTCGAATCCCATTCAAACATGTATCATACAGTATGGGCTCGACCAAAAGAAACCTTCCACAAGAAATCCAACCCTGCAAGCCCCAGGACTACATATTTTTTTTGGGGTATGGGAACGTCACGTACCTGCAACACTCTTGAAACCCAAGAAACCCAGGGCACCCTGGAGGCAAGCAGGGTGCTTCTTGGCATCGGTTTTCACTGCATGGGACAAGAGACTGCCCCCCGGGGAAGGCATCGAGGCCTCTTCGGATGTCTGGGTCTGGAGGCCTCTGGAGACCCACCCGGCCAGCCCCGAGGCGAGAGCGTCACACTCGGCACGACCGAAGACTTGCCGGGAAGACCGCCTTCACAAGCCTATCTGCGTGCCTCTACTGCGGGCAATATATACATCCATATCGAGTGCGTCTTGGACTTTCTTGAAAAGGGGCACCGCAAGGCCGAGGCGCACTGGATATGGACAAACATCGAGCCTCTACAGGGGCCGTATGCTTATCCACATCCAGTGCGCCTCGGGGCTCTGGGGAAGTGAACCAGAAACGCCAAGCTGCAAGAAACATGAACGCAAGTCTTGCCCGCATCTGCGTGCCAGTCCCGCTTCATACCACCTCCTCCCCTTCGCCTGTCCTCTGTGCGCGCACTCGGCCCAAGTGCTGCGCTTGGACGCCCGAATTATTCGGGGTAACTCGGGTCCGGGGTAACTCGGGTTTGGGTTCCCGAAAAACGAACCCGAGTTAGCCCTGACCCGAGCTACCCGTGATGATTCGGGGCTCTGGACGCCCGAGTTATCCGGGGTAACTCGGGCCCGGGATAACTCGGGTTCGGATTCCTGAAAAACGAACCCGAGTTAGCCCTGACCCGAGCTACCCCTGATGATTCGGGGCTCTGATGCGCGGCCTGGCGCCACCTGTCCCAGAGGCTGCGGAGCTGGAACCCGATCTTGTGCTGGTGCAGGATGGTGCCTGCGCGGCGGCTCGGCACATTCCGAGGCTCCGGCAGCGGCCGACGCGGCGGGGGGCACGGGCCGGGCCGTCGCGTGCGCTGCAGCAGCACTGGCGGCACGCGGAGGCCTCTGCAACCCCCTTGGAGGCACTTGTAAAGGCAATGCTTCCCAAACCCATGCAAGTAGCAGATGCCGTTTGTTCGGGCGCGGCCGGCGGATGCAAATTCCAAATTCTGGCAAAGCCAAGTTAGCCACAGAACCAATCCAAAACGCATCCTACAATCAACACTTCTAGTACCCATCGGTCGGAAGAAGTAGGTAGAAACATTAAGTAGGAAGGCGTTGGAAATAGATTGGGTTTCCGCACGCCTCCTGAAGAGGAGGGATGAGGGAAAACCACTCGACTCTTGAAGTAGGAAGGCGCTGAAAGTAGATTGGAATCTGAGAATCCAAAAATACCTACGTTCAACGACCGATGGGTAAGGATGAGCAACTTGCCAGGCCAACCCTTGCATCCGTGCCCCTTCGGCCCGTCCTGAGCGACCTTCGCTGGCCAACGTCGTGCGACAAAAACGCCAACGTGGCCCCCCAAGTTCCTTGGATCTTTGCCGCGCATCCTTACTCTACTAGTTGACTGTAGAGAAAGGGGATCCATCAGTAGCCCTCGTGACCCCAAAGAGGGTCCAGCAGAAAGGGGGTGGTGCAATAGATTGGGGCAGTTGTATTGCAAAGTATTGCGCCAGATAATCACATTGTGTTGCAACTTGTCTATTGCGCACAAATATCCAGCAATACATTTGCGCACCGGAGGAATGTATTGCACACCCCAAACCTATTGCAATCGCAAAAAAATATTGCACCAAATTGTGCGCCCCAAATCCGCCGGCCCCCTTGTGGGGCCACCAGGCTGTAGGGCGAAGGTTCGCAGTTTCCTGTGCCAGTTGCAGCTTCCAGTTTCCACTGTTACAGTTCTGCTTCTTGCTGCTTACTGTTCCTTGTTGATGGACCGCGCGAGGAGGGGAGGCCCAAAACGTGCAATTTTACCACGCCCTGAGCGTGTGCTCTGAATTGCTGGGGCGGGTAAACATTGACACCCCTCACGCAGATCGGCGGGGTCAGGGTCCAAAAACACAAGGGATTTGCCACATTTCCACAATTCGGCGGCACCCCTCACGCAGATCGGCAGGGTCAGGATCCAAAAACACAAACGAGTTGCCACATTTCTGAAATTTGCTGGCACCCCTCACGCAAATCGGCGGGGCCAGGGTCCAAAAACATAAGGAATTTGCAACATTTCCAAAATTCGGCGGCACCCCTCACGCAGATCGGCGGGGTCAGGATCCGAAAACACAAACGAGTTGCCACATTTCTGAAATTTGCTGGCACCCCTCACGCAAATCGGCGGGGCCAGGGTCCAAAAACATGGGGAATTTGCAACATTTCCAAAATTCGGCGGCACCCCTCACGCAGATCGGCGGGGTCAGGATCCGAAAACACAAACGAGTTGCCACATTTCTGAAATTTGCTGGCACCCCTCACGCAAATCGGCGGGGTCAGGGTCCAACAACACATCCGATTTGCCACATGTATGACATTCGGTTGCACCCCTCACGCAGATCGGCGGGGTCAGGGTGCAAAAACAGAAAGGATTTGCCACAACTTTGAAATTCGTTGGCACCCCTCGCGCAGATCGGCGGGGTCAGGGTCCATGAATAGATGGGATTTGCCACTTTTCTGAAATCCAGTGGCACCCCTCACGCAGATCGGCAGGGTTAGGGTCCAAAAACACACGGGATTTGCCGCATTTCTAAAATTCGGCGGCACCCCTCACGCAGATCGGCAGGGTCAGGGTCCAAAAAACATATAGGATGTGCAACATTTCTGAAGTCCGGCGGCACCCCTCACGCAGATCCGTAGGGTCAGGGTCCAAAAACACGAAGGATTTGCGCATTTCTGAAATTCGGTGGCACTCGTGACGCAGATCCGTAAGGTCAGGGTCGAAAAACAAACAGGTCCCGACACTGCTTCACAGCGGCGCCAACACCTCATGATTTAGCTTTTGCATCTCCCATTATTCGAGACGGGGGGCCGGCGGCATGGGGCGAAGCCCTTACGGATATCCGGGGTAACTGTGGCCTGTTGTAACTCGGGTTCGGATTCCCGGAAAACGGATCCAAAGTAGCCCTGACCAGAAATACCCCTGATGATTTGGGGCTCTGGGCACCCAAGTTATCCGGGGTAACTCGGTCCTGGGGTAACTCGGGTTCGGATTCCCGAAAAACGAACCCGAGTTAGCCCTGACCCGAGTTACCCCTGATGATTCGGGGCTCTGACCAAATCTATTTCACCGCCTCCTGTTCGCTGCACCCCCTTTTGGGTCCACGTGGAGTAGACGCATGCCCGTCCAGCACCGAATCAGCCTGGCGCGCCAGGGCGCGCGGCGAGACGCTGCCGCAGCGCCTGGCGTCAGCCAGCCTCCGCGCGGGCCTGTCCGGGAATCTTGGCCATCGTGCTGTCACAGGGGCGCTCTCTTCGAGGGCCCCGTTCTGGGGCAAGAAGGACGCCATGATGTTGGCCTGGGATACGTTGCAAGAACTCCAGGGCCTCCTCAGCCGCGCAGCCAGTGCGAAACATGAGGAAACATGGGACATCCTGGGAGCCTTGGAAATCCTGAAACGTTTCGTTACCATCACCTCTTGCTCCTCTGACGTTTGTTGAAAACAGAGCTGCGCAATGGATCCACTGGCGGTCGTTGTCCGTGATCTGACTTCGGCAGTGGCTCGTCTTCGCGGCGAGTCGCGCCGTCACTCTATGACCTTCATTCTTCACAATCGAAAGGCTGTGAACCCTGGCGATGCCATCATCCATCCACAATTGTGGTGGCAATTTTGCCGGCCCTTTCGGGCAACAACGAAAAAAGCGTCAACCCGCCAACAGGTGACAGATCGCAATCGCGCCCAGAGGGAGGATGCCAGGCGCGCCGAAGAGGAGGGCCAGGACGAGCGTGGGGTGCGTGACATGACCCGAGGCACGAGCGCGAACGAGTGGGGGCCAGTGGACGTCTTGAAATGAAGAGGGGGCGATGGAATCTTGGAGACCTCCCGACCTCAGCCATGACATTCCCCCGACCCCCTGGTCTTCACCCATCCATTTGGACACCTGCGAGGATGGGGAGGACAAAGAACGAGCCAGTGGTGCTCAGACCCACGGAGACGTCACCTGCGAGCTCGAGTGCCGAGAGCTCGGAGATCGCGGCGCGGCGAATGTCACATCATCGGTCGCCGCCCGCCCCAATCTGAACAAAGCTGGGAGGGGAGGAAGCAGCGACGCCAAATTGCGCGGCAAGGTGCAGCGCACATCGAGTTGAACTCCCCTCCTCTGGCAGTCAGCCTTTGTGGTGCGGTGGTCATCTTGACTCTTGCAGAGGAGCGAGGGGGTGAGGGAGCGGAGGGGGAGAGAAGGGAGGAGCGGGAGAGGGAGGAAAGAAGGCTTCTGGACCTGGAGCCGGGAGCGGCCCCCGGGGCAGTGGCCGTGACCTCCTGGGGCCGTGGAGGGGGCAGACCAGACCGTCGAGTCTCGAGATTGGCGTCGAATCCGATGGGTCCCCCCAAGAGCGGAGGGGGGCCAAGGACCACGCTTGCCCCATGGGTCTCTCTCAATCTCAAGGGGCCCGGGGAGACGCACAGATAGATAGATGCTAAATCCCGGAAGTCCCCACATGTTCCATATGTTCTGGACGTTCGTCTCCCCCTGGACTTTCTACATGATCGACATTTGCCTGGGAATCGACGACTCCTTGTGTCTCTGTGTGTGTTTCCCTCCAGACGATCAGCTAATCCTGTCGCCAGGGTGAGGAATCCTGCGGGAATCGACTCCTGGACCCCGCGCCGCTCCCTGGGGCCCGCTCTCCCCCGGGGCTCCCTTAAGCCGGGCGGCGACAGACCGTGCGGTGACCTCGGCACCGAGACGAGACCTCAGCGCACGGTCCGTCATGGTACGGTCCTGGGATCTCGGAACAGAAAAAACGGTGAGTCCAAAATCGACTCGAGAAGCCGATCGGCGACCGAGATCAATCGGATCGGCGGAAATCGGCAGCCGAGCCGGGAAGAGTCGCATCGGCGGAACTCGGCAGACTGGTATGCCTCCAGTGAGGAGTCGGAGACCAGCTCCGAATCCAAAGCCGAATCGAATCGGAATCGGATGCCATCGAAGTCGAATTCGAATCGAATCAGGAGACCCAAATCGCAAAAGAAAAAAAAAACGATCGGTCACCCCGAATCTCACGGATTCACCATACGGTGTGGTCACGCGCGCTGGACCCTGGATCTCCCAGCCTCTCCTCCCGAGTCGCCCTTCTCATGGCCCCAGGGCCCCAGAAGGGCCCCGGGAGGGAGGCCCCAAACAAGCAATTTTCGCAGGACGTTTTCCCCTGAGACCCCATCTCTGAAAGGTTGCCATGATTCCTTCTCGAGCGCCATGCCTGTTCTATTCTCTGTGGGCATTCTCCTCCACCTCTTCTCTCGCGTTGCAGAGCAGCTGCTCCGACCACCTGTTGGTTCTGCCTGCTCGGCGCTGCGTCCTGGCTGGGGCCACTCCGGCTCTCTACCCGGCTGGGCAACGGCTGTCGCGGTTGCTCTGCCCCCCGAGGCAGCAACAAAAAAAACACCATGACCACCACCGTTTCCCGCATCGCCTCCCATGCAACAGTGGCATCCGGGATGACCGTCGGTCTGAAGAAGTTGGCAGAACCATGCCGTAGAAAGGCGTTGGAAGTATATACTGGATCTCCGCCAGCCCCGTCAAGGCAACGGACGAGGGAGATCCATATGCGATCCTTGAAATAGGCAGGCGTCTAAACTGTAATGGAATTCGGAAGTCCGAGAAAGCCAAGGATGGGCACCCAGTGTAGGGGCCAAGTAGAAGTATTCTGGAGACCGCTGACTTGGGGTTGGACTTCCTTTTTCGTCTTTCGGAGCTAAAGTTTGAGCCGTCGCTCGGGCAGTGTTTGTCCGAGCGGCGCCAAAAACGGGTGCTCGAGCGACCCTGGCGGTCGTTCAAGGAACCGACCCGCTCGATCCACACTAGGTCTGTCATGCCGCAGGCAGGACGAGGGTCTTCAGGGAGGTACTTCTGTACCCTCGGGCCTTTTGCATAAGACCAACTCTGAGCGGCGAAACCAAACGGGCCTCACGCGGGATGACATAACGACCTTACGCCGCGGCTTACGCGGGCCGCCAGCGCGGCATGCCGCATTGGCGACGAGGATGGTCACACTTTTGATTCGCGGGTCGAGAGCGCACCTTTTCCGGTCGAAGCTAATCGGGCCGCGCGACGCTTGAAGTAACAGAGGGGGGGACAGAAGGAGCGCGGCCTCACGGTAAGGCCGGGAGGAGGCAAAGCCCCGGGATCAGGCGGTGCCGAAAACGACGTGCTTGCAAAGGAACGCCACGAGGATGCTCACACACGACTTTACACAAGCAGCGTGAGCGCCAGTGCTGGTTCAGACAACCCCATTCTTCTGTCGTCGGCCGCTGGGGCCCGGCCAGGGTCCCGCACGATCCCCCCGGAACGGCGACAAAACCTCAGGACCCGTGCCCCTCAGGCCACCATTGCAGGGGCCCCAGGACACACAAGTAAATACACACAAAAAAAATGTTTGCCCATATTTTCAAATATTTGTAAGGTTTTTGTCTTCCCCCCCACTTCCCATAGTTACCTAACAGCGAAGACTGATAGGTTTCTAGTGGGGTCAAAAGAGAACATCATGATTCCTCAGGGGGGTCGGGGCGGGACCCGGGGCGGGACCCGGCGCGGCTGCCGTCGAAACCCAAATCGCCTGGGACATCCTCGCGAAATCGCTCTTGGCGCTGCTAGAACTCCATTCCCGGCGTACATTTTGAATGCCTGGAGCCAACTGTAAGCCACTTCGTGCTCTTCGACTTCCCAAAACTCCACTCCCGCCGTACATTTTGGGTGCCCGGAGCCAACTGTAGGCCACTTCGTGGTCTTCGAGTTCCCAGAACTCCATTCCGGGGCCACATTTTGGATGCCCGGAGCCAACTGTAGGCCACTTCGTGGTCTTCGAGTTTCCAGAACTCCATTCCCGGGCCACATTTTGGGTGCCCGGAGCCAACTGTAGGCCACTTCGTGGTCTTCGAGTTCCCAGAACTCCACTCCCGGGCTACATTTTGGATGTCCGGAGCCAACTGTAGGCCACATCGTCTTCTTCGAGCTCCCAGAACTCCATTCCCGGGCCACATTTTGCTTACTGGATGTCTCCGTCAGATCTCTCGCCATCCGATTCCCGGTTTGTTCTGTGTCGTCATCGTGCAGGGCAAGACGGCGGACCCAGGCGTCATCGTGCACTGGACGTTTCCGCCAGAATCTAATACTTGTAGTAGCAGTAGTAGGAGGAGGCTGAGGCAGGCTGATGCTGAGGCAGGCTGAGGCTGAGGCTGAGGCTGAGGCAGGCCGAGGCTGAGGCCGAGACCGACGGCAGACTGAGGCTGAGGCTGAGGCTGAAGCAGGCTGAGGCTGAGGCAGAGGCAGGCTGAGGTTCAGGCTGATGCAGGCTGATGCTGAGGCAGACTGAGACTGATGCTGAGGCTGATGCAGGGTGAGGCTGAGGCAGGCTGAGGCTGAGGCCGAGGGTGAAGGCAGACTGAGGCTGAGGTTGAAGCAGGCTGAGGCTGAGGCTGAGGCAGGCTGAGGCTGAGGCTGAGGCAGACTTAGGCTGAGGCTGTGACTGCGACTGCCGTTGCCGCTGCGACTGCCATCGCGAATGCGACTACGACTGCGAGAACAGCAGAATTCTACAACTGGGTTCTCATTTGAATCTTAAGGGGAATGCTTCCAGATATGCTCCTACACATCGCTGTTAGGTTGCTTTGCCGGGATAATTTCCCATCTTTTCTTGGGAATCGACACTTCATTGTGCCTGTGTGTTTTCCCCTCATGAACAATGCTGGGGGAGCGAGAGCAACATCAATGCCACGCCGCAGTGGGGGACCCATCAGCGCCTCAAGCAGCGCTGAAGAACCACCCGGCTTTCGGGCACAAAACAGCGACGGACTCACGCGCAGACGTGCACCCCGCGGCGGCGCGCCATTGCCACTCTTGCAGCCAGTGGGCAAGCTGCAGCTGCAAGGGCCGCAGCGTTCGGGCAGATGCGGCCATCTCGGCCACCTCCGCGAAGCGCGCAGGTAAGAGAAAGGACGGTGGCCCCCGTGGGGCGGAGAGAAAGGAGAGGCGAGAAAGAGAAAGGAGCGAAGCGACGAGGACTGGTGCAGAGAAAGGAGCGCAGCGAGGTAAGAGAGAAGCACGGTGGCCTCCGCGGGGCAGAGGCGGAGCGCGCGGCAGAGCAGGCGGGCGAGGGGAGAGCGCGGGCGCACAGCCACACACCACGCACGATGTCCATCAGGACACCGAGCAGGCCGGGAGCCCGCCTGCACTGGAGCCGGTCATTGCCCTTCCTTTGCCCTCGCCGCCGCGCCCGCGCGCCCGCGGCGGCGGCGGCGGGCGGCGCCGTGCGTGACGACCAGCCGCCTGCACCTGAGGGGCAACGAGGAGGCGGGGCATTTGATGCAGAATCCTTGGATTCCTGGATGAGGAATCCAGCGTCTGGAAGCCAGGAGAATTCCAATCGTGGATTGGCCATTGGCCATGGATATCACTGCCGCCATGGGGTCTGAAGACTCCTGAGCGCATTCCTTCAATCACGCCCCCACCGTAGGGGGGCACAGCTCAAGGGCGGAAACATCGACCTTGAATTCGCGATGCATCGCCGATCGATCAGCGGCAGTCCCCCGATAGCGCATCCGCGCATTCCTTGGCGGGGCGGCCTATCGGCCCACTATCGGCGACGCATGTTCTGTGGCAACTGCTGGGAGCCTCCCATGCCTCTTTGAAGGGGCCCTGGGACACACTAATAAATAGACACAGATAAAAGGATTCCCCACATTTTCCCTACATGTTCTGGGTTTTTGTCTTCCCCCCACTTTCCATATGTTCGCATCTATCCCTGAGAATCGACGATTAATTGTGCCTGTGTGTTTTTGTCCCCTCCTGACCCTAGCTCCTGGTAACCGGTGCCAATCGGAGCTAAATCGGCGCTCTCTCGTCGACGACCAGGCGCAAGCGCACGCCAGTGCACTCTCAAGACGGGCGCGCGATGACGCACGAGGCTCCCGCAACCTGCGGGCCTTTCGGGAGCCGATGCGCGCTCCCCTGCATGTCTTGGGCTCCCGAATTGCCCGGGGTTCTAAGCTGCGGCGCGAGGCAACTCTGGGTGGGGCCCCCGAGGCGAGAATCTGCAAGTACCTATGTTCACCCACCCACCCCGCCGAAGGGAATCCAGAGGGTTGGACGCCCGAGACTTCTCTGGGATGCGTCGGGCGCCTCGCCGATGCATCGGCGATGCGGCCCGATCCTCCGACACCATCTGCTCCGACCCCAGCTGGGAGGCCTAGACTCGGGGGCGCGCAAAATGGATTAGCGATCGATGGATTCGGCGCGCGGTCGCCGAATCCATGGATCGGGGGAAGTGCCCTCCCCAAAAATGCAACCGGTGCCGCCTCGCTCGGCGGCGGAAATCCGCGGCTTCCCATGGAAGCGGGACCCGTCGCCAATCCACGCCCCCAGGATCCATGTTTGCGATCGCCTGATCTTGGACGCCCGAGTTATCCGGGGTAACTCGGGTCTGGGGTAACCCGTTTGGATTCCCGAAAAAGGAACCCGAGTTAGCCCTGACCCGAGTTACCCCTGATGATGTGGGGCTCTGGACGCCCGTAGCTGATTTTCCCGGCGCCTCACGGCGCCGGAGGCGACTGTGTATCGGGGAATGGGCCTCTCGGTGAGGCCGAAACTAGCTGCATGCAGCAAATTTCGTACCCCCCCCTTTCCCAATCCCCCCCTTACGTCCGGCCCGATCATGGCGACTCGCGCTGCCCCGGAGCACCGCTGCCGCAGCTCCGGCGCCGCCAGCGCCGGCGGGGCCTGCGCGCGCGCGGAGGGGCAGAGGGGCCAGCGGCCTCGGCGAGGCGGCGCGCGAGGCGGCGCGCGCGGGGAGGACATCGAGGCATCGAGGGGTCGACCCCGCGACCCCTCGACCTCCTCCTCCTCCTCCTTCCTTCCTCCTCCTCCTCCCTCCTCCTCCTCCCCTCCTCCTCCCTCCTCCCTCCTCCCTCCTCCCTCCTCCTCCTCCTCCCTCCTCCTCCTCCTCCCTCCTCCCTCCTCCTCCTCCTCCTCCCTCCTCCCTCCTCCCTCCTCCTCCGAGGGCTCGAGGGCTCGAGGCATCGAGGGGCGGAGGCGCCGGGATCGAGGCACCGAGGATCCGCCGCCAGCCCGCCGCGCCTCGCGCGGGGGCCGGCCGCCCTGCGGAGGGGGGGGGGGGCCGGGGGCCCCTCGGGGGCGGCGCGGGGGCGCCCCGCTCCGCGTGGCGGGCCGGGGGGGGCAACCTTTGGACTTTGGACCTTCCAGGAAGGCTTTTTGAAGGGGCCCTGGGACACACAAGCAAATACACACAAATAAGAAGATGTCCCATATTTTCGATATTTTCTGAGCTTTTGTCTTCCCGCCCAAATTCCCACATTTTCCTACATTTTCTTGGGAATCGACGATTAACTGTGTCTGTGTGTTTTTGTCCCCTCCTGAGGCTTACCAAACACACCAGGACATTGGGCCCCAAGTTTCAATCGATCCTTGCAGCAGTCCAGGTAGGTCCACAGGTCTGGAGCTTAGTGGGCCCTGGAAACGACAGGGCAATTTTTTTACCGGTTCCGTTTTGCCGTTTTCTTGCCGGTTCCGACGCCGTTTTTTTACCGCTTCCGTCGCCGTTTTTTGACCGGTTCCGGCTCCGGTTCCAATCCTGGAGCGTTTATTTGTTGCCGTTTCCGGTCGCCGTTTTTGTTGCCGTTTCCATTTTCAAGGGGCATGTTTTGGGAAACGGTGAAAAAACGGCCCTGCCGTTTCCGGGGCCCACAAAGGTCTGGAGCGCTATGTTTGCACGAAGCTTCGGGGGCGGCAGAGAGAGGGGCGTCCAAGAGGGGGAGGGGTGCAAATCATGGCTGGCGGCACGTGCGCGGCCCAGGGGGGGCCAGGGACGTAATGAAATAAGAAGAGGCGCCATGAAACCTGAGGAAATATCATGGCCCACGACATACATCAACACACCCCTAGTCATCACCCTACTCTTTGCCGCCCCCGAAAAGGTCAAGGAACGAAACTTTGCAACACGCCCGGGACCAGGTTACGGGCAGACCAAATCTCGGCTGCTCTGGGCTGCTTCTGGCGGCGGTTTGCTGGCTGCTGGTCAGGGCCCCTCCCCCGCAGTCAGCGTGCGCGACTGGAAAACCAGATCGACTCCAGACCCAGTCCAGAACCATATTCGCACCCCCCATCCCCAACTCTTCGGCCGAATGTCGAAACTCAGAATCAAAGAAAACGCCTATAAGGGGCGTGCCTCCTCAGAAGACTCGGCCTGGGGCCTTCCGAGAAGTGTTCCAAGCCTTCCCCGAAGATACAAAAAGCTGCTCAGAAGGCCCGAGGGCTTCTGAGAGGCCCCGACGCCATCTGGAAGGCCTCCTCCTTCTCAATCTCCCCCCTTGCTCGCCGCCGAGAAAAGGAACACCACCACCACCACCAAGGACCACGAGCGGGAAGAGCCGGGGGAGGTCCCCCTGGTGGTATGCCACTGTCCCGAGCGCATCGTGGACATCCCCGCCGAAGGTGGCCCCCCTGGTGGTGGTGGTGGTGTCGTTTTTCCCTCCCCCGATCCGACGGAGCTTGCGGTCTCGGGTCGGGCGAAAGGGGAGGATAGCAAAGGGGGGTTTGAGAATCAGCTCGCGTAGCTGATTTTTCCCGGCGCCTCCTGGCGCCGGAGGCGGCCATGTATCGAGGAACGGGCCCCTCGGTGGGGCCGAAACCAGCTGCATGCAGCAAATTTCGTAACCCCCCACTTTTCCAATCCCCCCCTTTCGCCCCACCCGAGGATCGGGCCAGACGAAAAGAGGGGTCAGGTAGAAGGCTACAGCGAAGCAACTCACGGAGCTGACGTTCTCTGGCGCCTCAGGCGGCAGTGTACAAGGCGCGGGTTACTGTTGAACATGTGCCAGGGAGGAGGAAGGAGGGAGGGGAGGAAGGAGGGAGGGGAGGAAGGAGGGAGGGGGGAGAAGGGAAGAGGGATGGGGGAGGAGGGGGGAGGGAGGGGGTAGGAGGGATGGGAGAGGAGGGAGGAGGGAAGAGGGAGGAGCGAGGAGGGTGAAGGAGGGAGGGGGGAGGGGGGAGGGGGGAGGGAGGAGGGAGGAAGGAGGGGTTGTGACAAAAGAGCAGACCACGCGCACAGCTTGAGTGACCCCGCGCGCGTCGCTGATGGCGTGGGAAGGCGAGGGGAGGGCGTGGCGAGGAGGAGGGCGTAATTGCAGCGGACCGGCCCGCACGCCGAGGGCAGGGAAGGGTATGGGACAAATGCATGACCACGCAGCGGGGTGGGAAATTGTACGTCGGTCGGAAGAAGCAGGTAAGCAGATTGGGTTCAGGCCCTCCCAGAAAATTACAGAACACAACAAAAGCATAACTATCGATGATTGAAGCAGGAAGGCGGTTCAGGAATCTGGGAACTGGAATTCCGAAACTACATGCTTTCAACGACCGGCGATAAGACGTACCTGCACATGTGTGTATTACATATACTCGGCCGGAGGTTGGACAGGCAAAGAAGGGCGACATCATCACAGGGGAGAGAGGAAGAGGAGTATCTCTATATCTTTATAAACATACATTAGAACCACACGCGCGCTTCGGGCGCGCTTGGGTTCTAGAAGCACAACCATTGACAAGCTCAAAGCTGCACGCATGTAGATACCCACGAACAACTCCAAGATGGTTCGAATACGGAGCAAGAGCGCGGACCACGCGCAAGCTTTGGTTCTAGCAAGCTATAGTAGAGTCTAGAGTGTTCGGCAACGGAGGACATGTAGTGTCACTAGGATCGTGCCCCTCAGGGAGCTCCAACGACAGGTCCAGAGATAAGTTGGCTCAGCGTCCCCCCGACCCATGTCGGCACACCCGTCACAGGGCTCGCGCACCAAAAGATGCTCCACCTACGTCCCCAGAGACAAGGGGTGCGCATTGTGGCACGCCCCTCACGCAGGGCGTGCACGGCAAGTAGCTGAATTTGCGGCACCAGAGGTAAACTTCATGGCGTTGCCGCACTCACTGCGGCACACCTCTCGCACGGATCGTGCCCCGCAGGGAGTTCCACGGACGGCTCCAGAGACCAAGTTCCCATGTCGCCCCCCCGCTTACTTCGGCACACCTCTCACATGGATCGTGGCCCATAGGGATCTCCACCTACGGCCTCAAAGGCAGGGTTCGAATTTCGCCCCCCCCCCTCCCCGCCCCCTTCCCCAACCCCGCTCATTGCGGCATACCCCATCACGCGGACCGTGCCCACAAGGAGCACCACCTTCAGGTACAGCGCCCCCCAAGCCCATGCCTGCCATGGCCCATGCTGAGACAATAATGAACGCGTCCGCGCGATTGCACATCTTTCGATCCCATGTGCTCGGGCCCCGTCTCCAGGAAGGGGCCCAGGGACACACAGACAAGTGGACACGCATCCCAGGATCGCCCATCCAGATGACCTGGGTGTTCGCCTTCCCCTCCCCTGCCTAGGTATTCTATATTATCTTCCTGGGAACCGACGACTCTCTGTGCCCGTATGCTCCACCCCCTCCCGACGGAAAAAAAGGCTCGCCCCTCCTAGGAGGATCAGGCGCGGGAGGCGGAGGCGTGCGGCAATCCCCGGGGGCACGACCTGGGCATCGCTTGATGGGGGTGTGGTCTTGGGGGGGTGGGGGGCGACGGCCCTGACCTTCCAGAGTGCCAGAAAACAACACGCCTGGCCTACAGCCAACCCGTACAGTAAGGGCGCCCGATAAGGATGCAGGGGGGCCCTGGAAGGCGACGTCGACACCTTGCGAGCAGGGCGCAGCCCGCGAAAGCGGCCAAGGGTGGTCCGACGGGGCAAGGATGTAAGGATACTCTTGGTCAGGTTGCCCATCCCTTTACGGGTTCACTGTATAGAGCTATCTAGACTGCTTACAACACCTCGATTGGAATTCAAGGAGCAAGGTCCTCCTGGAAGGTCAGGGAAAGGGGGGGCGGGAAGGAAGGTGCGGTGCATTCTTCGGGCCCCACGAGGCCCCCTTATGGAGGCCCTGAAATCACGGGTCACTTGAGGAACCCTAGAGGACCCCTTTTCTTTCTGCAGCCCTCGCAGCCCCCCCCCCCATCCCCCCCCCATGTTATCGCCCCCCCCATTACGTGACGCCCAGAGAGGAGGAGGAAGAGGAGGGGGAGGAGGGGGAGGAGGAGGAGGAGGAGGAGGAGAAGGAGGGGGCGGAGAAGTCTTCCGAACCTTCCCAGGAGACACAGGCAGCCTCTCCGACGGCCAGAGGGCCTCCGAGGAGCCCCGCCGCCTTCTGGGACGGCCTTCTCCTTTTCTCCTGACCGTCCAGTAGGACTAAAAGATGGCACCAGGACCCGAATCCCTAAATTCTCATCGAGGTTTCGAAGCAGTCTAGCTTGGTCTACGGGTATGGAGTGTTGTTTTTCTGCACCATGGAAGGTAAGGGTGATCCCCCCCCCCAGTATCGGGGGCGGCCAAGAGGGGGGCGTTCAACAGGGGGGGGCGGGCGCAAGTCATGGCTGGCGGCACGTGCGCGGCCAAGGGGGGGCCGGGGACGTCGTGAAGTATATAAGAAGAGGCGCCATGAAATTTGAAGAAACATCATGGCCCACGCCATGACATCCAGAACCCCCTAGAGTGGAGGCCAGTCCACAAGAAACTTGCCACAAGAAACCCCACCCTGAGACCCCAGGACGTCGATGGATGTCTGGTGTGGGAGCGTCACGCTTCCCACAGCAAAGCCATCGAAACCCGAGGAACCCAGGGCACCCTGGAGGCAAGCAGGGTGTTTCTTGGCATGGGCCCCCACTGTGCGTGAACACGGGCGGGATGGGGGGGGAGGAGGGTGTTCCTTGGCATGGGCCCCCACTGTATTGCACCCACTTCTTCCGTACCCGCTTCGGGCGTCCAGATGAGGACCATTGAAGGGGCCCTGGGACACACAAATAAATACACACAAATAAATTGATCTCCCATATTTTCCTATATTTTCTGGGTTTTTGTCTTTCCCCCACTTCAACTATTTTCCCATATGTTCTAAGGAATCGACGATTCATTGTGTCTGTGTGTGTTTTCCCCTCCTGAACCATATCGGCCCTTGTGCCGCCTCCGCGGGGGGGAGGTCCGCCGCCGCCGCGGGCGGGGCGCGGCACGATAGCGCCTCGGGGCCAGGCGCATATCGAGCGCTGTGGGCCTCCGGAGAAGGGCCAGCTCGCCTCCCGAGCGAGCAGCAGGGCCGGGGGGGCCACGAAGGACGTGCGCGCCCACCCACAGCAGCTTAGTGGGCCCTGGAAAAGACAAGGCCGTTTTTTTACCGGTTCCGTTCTGCCGTTTTCTTGCCGGTTCCAACGCATGTTTTTACCGGTTCCGTCGCCGTTTTGTTGACCGGTTCCGGCTCCGGTTCCAATCCTGGAGCCGTTTTTGTTGCCGTTTCCGGTCGCCGTTTTTTTTGCCGTTTCCATGTTCAAAGGATATTTTTTGGGAAACGGTGAAAAAACGGCCCTGCCGTTTCCAGGGCCCACGAAGGGCCCGACCACGAGAAGTCCTCCACAAGAAACCCAACCCTGAGACAACCAGGGCGTCCATGGATATGCTCGGTGTGGGAGCGCCACGCTCTCACGCTCTCCATAAGAAGACCACCGAAACCCGAGAGACCCAGGGCACCCTGGAGGCAAGCAGGGTGCTTCTTGGCGTGGGCCTCCACTGTACCACAAGGGATGCGCGATAAGGGTGCAAGGATACCCTTGGGAAGGTTGCCCATCGCGGGTCGACTGCAGAGAACACAAAAACCGCAGGAACACAAACTCTGGTCGGCGCTGCCCCCCCCCCGCCTCTCCCTGGCGCCCAGAGCGCGCCAGGGGTGCCTCCAGGAAGGCCCAGGCGCGGATCCCTGAAATCCGCCAGGGCCCCCGAAAAGCTACCATGTTTGTGCGGTTTCATATCTTCTCCGACCCAACAGGCTGCCAGGGAGGAAGGGCCGCCGTCTGCCTCGACATTCGAAGCCTCCCAAATGGGGTCCGAGTAGATGGGGTCGGAGAATCGCACCGCATCGACAATGCAACGCCGATGCATCAGCGCTGCATCGCCGCCGGCGGTGCCCGCCGGCGTGGAGAAAATCAGGCTCCACATCGAGCCGCATCGCCGATGAACTGACGATGCGGCGCGATCTTCCGTCAACATTTGCTGAGCAGAGTCCGGCCGTCCTGGCATTCATGTGGGCCTACCACGACGTGTTCTTCGAATCCGAAAATATTCAAAAAACAGACCAACGTGCTTAGAGCATACAGACGATTGACTGAAACCAGACAGTCCCGGCCAGAAATGCTCTAAGACCTTTTCATGCAGACCACAAAAGGCTCTTAGAACATTCCATGGTGGCCCTGTATTGGCGGCGACGACAGGGGGGCGATAGCCCAGGGGCGGGCAGTACACGTCCTCGCCCGGGAGCCTCGTCGAAGAGATAGATCCTCGGCGCGCCTGGATACAAGTACTGCTCTCCCCTGGGCTATTCTCTTCCCTGTCGTCGCCTCTGACTCCACTGCTCGGATCTGGGGGGCCCTCGAAGAGGCCTCCGTCGAGCGGGGCCAACGGGAACCTCTGCCGCACGGTAGCAGATCGCCCACCCCCTAGAAGGGGGGGAGGAGGAGGAGGAGGAGGAGGAGGAGGAGGAGGAGGAGGAGGAGGAGGAGGAGGAGGAGGAGGAGGAGGAGGACGAGGAGGGTGGGAGAGGAGGAGGATGCGGAGGAGGAGGAGGAGGAGGCCAAAGGGACACGGCCCCCCTCCGACGAGCGCACCGAGCTCCCGCCGCAGGGCCTCCGCTCGGCCGCTCGGCCGCGCGACGGCGGGGGCGCGCGGCGGCGGAGGGGGAGGGCCCGGGGCGCACCCTCAGAGGGGGCAGCCCGAGAGGGGGCTCGCAGGTCCTGGCCCCGGGCGCGCGCGTGGCCCTCGGGGGGCACCGAGGGGAGGTGCTGGGAGAGGCAGAGGGGCTCCTGTCTGGGCGCCCGACATGGATACGGCCAAAAATGAGTACAATGCCCAGCAACAGATTTTTAATTCGCGTTGTTTCCCGTGCGCCAGTTTGGACGCCCGAAATGGGCACGGAAAGAATGGGTACGATGCCCAACAACACATGTTGTCCCAAACCAACAGCGGCCGCTGTTGGGCAGAAGGCCTTCTGTCTCGAATGAGCACAGGCCGCGGCGGCGCGGACAGCGAGTCCTGTCCAAAATGAACAAGAACCGATGTTGAGCATTGTACCCGTTCTTGACGTGCCCATCTCGTTCGTGCAGATCCTGAGTCCAGGGATACCACGGCCCGAGACACGATACCTGCCCCCCCCTAGCACGAGCGGCGCACAGATCTGTACCTATCCGCGCCCTCGCGGTCTGGACTCTGGCGGGGTGCGATCCCGCGGACACGAGGTCGCACGGGTACGTTCCGCGGGGGGCATCCACGCAGAGACGCCCGCGCATCCGCGGGGCTGCGGCCCAGAGGCCCGGGCCGCGAGGCCGCGGATACGGATGCGTGTGCCGCTCACGATGTCATCCCCCCCCTGCCGCCCCCGAGGGAGCATGATGTTGCACCCTCGGGGGACCTTGCCTCTCTCATCGAGGCCCTACCCGCGTCGAATCCGTGTCTCGGATCCGTGCCTGAACCGTCGCATCCGTGTCGAGAATCCGTGTCGTAAACTCGCGTCGAGTCCGCGCCAAATCCGCGTCGAGTCCGCATCGAGCCCGCGTCGGGCACTCTTCGCGCCGGCGGCGAGGCAGAGGCCCTCCGCACCACCGTGTGGCTCCTCGGGGCCACCGACATGCGAATCGCCCGGCAAAACAAAAGCAAGGAACGAGACGGAGGGCGGCGGCCAAGCTACGGGAGCACACCTCGGGGACGGACAGACCCCCCTTTAGCAAAGCGTGGTTTGGTAAAAACGGCCTCGGGCCCCAACCTGGCGGGCGCCAGCCTGGAAAATGACGACGGCCGCGGCGCCCTCTGGAGAACCCAAAGCGGACAATTCACTGATCGACGTGTCAGGGTAGGAGGTCTGTCCACCCCCGCCACACAGGTGTGGGGGGGGGGGGCGGGGCAGTGCCCGAAGACGCGGCACCGCGCCGGGCACACGAGGAGGCACGACTGCTTTGGGGCGACGGGCGCGAGGCCCCCCTCCGAAAGTGCGGCGCGTGACTGGCAGCGCCCGCCCCGCGCCCGGAGGCCCGCGGGCCCCCCCCCCCCGGGAGCGCTCACGCGGCGGCGGCCCTCGAGCGGCGCCCCGCGGTGGCGGCTTCCAGGGCGCAGCTCGTCGGGGGGACCTTAGGGGAACAAAAAATGACATAAACATAAAAACTCGGAGGTGTTCGCGGATTTCTCGGATCGGCGCTGGACCCCCCTCCCTGGCGCGCGGAGCGCGCCAGGGGCGGCGCCGGAGGCGCCGCCGAGGGGCCCTGGCGCCGATCCGAGAAATCCGCGCGGACATCAGAGTTTTTATGTTTATGCCACTTGTTGTTCCCCTATTTCCCATATTTTCCTATATGTTCCCATATTCCACTTACGTTTTATGTTCCAACTGTTTGTTCCCTATTTCCCGTATTTCCCACTTTTTGTTTATTTTCCCATTCTGTTTTATGCTTATCCCACTTCCCATATTTTCCAATATTTTCTCTTGGGAATCGACGATGAATTGTGTCTGTGTGTTTTGTCCCCTCCTGAGACCTGCGCGGGAGCGCGAGGCGGCTCCAGCCCCGCCCCGCCCCGCCCGGCACGAGCTCCCGGCGTTTCCTCCCGGGCTCCTGGCCCAGCCGCCGGGCTTGCCTCCTGCCTCCGTCCTCCTCTCTCTCCTTCTCTCTCTGTCTCTCTGTCTCTCTGTCTCTCTCTCTCTCTCTCTATTCGCTCTTCTGTCCTCTTGAGGCGAAAAAGAACAACTGAATACATGTAATGTGCTGGCGCTCCGCGTGGAGCGCCAAACGTCTATGCTTATGGCGTTCTCTCTGCTTCGGCTACTAAAGTTATCTTTGCTTGCTTCTCCCTCTCTCTCTACACCCTCGTCTGATGCATCTCCTCGCTGCCCTCTGGGTCGGCTCACCGACGCTTTGCACTATGAATCCGCCGACCTCCGCTTGCCGGGCGTGAAAAGACGTGTGAGATGATGGGATGCCCCCCCTCCCACAGTTCCCCCTCCCCTGGAGCAAAACATCGCAGTAGAGGGTGGTAGGTACGAGCTCCTTAGGAGTTCTCACGAGCCTCGAAAAAGCCGCTGGACGGCCCAGTGAATTCCGAGATGATCCAAAGGAGCGTCGAGACGACGCTGGGTAATCCCGCGACGGTCCAAGATGGCTTTAAGATGGCTCCAAGATGGCCTACGAAACCCCCGAGACGGCCCAAGAGTTCTCCCAGAGGGCCGCCGAGTGGGCCCCAAGAGGTAAACCATCGCCCCAATCACTAATGAAAAAAGTGCACGTTTGAGCTATACGCATTCTTCGTCTGACCAGCATCCACAAGAAGGCCCCACGCTGGCCCAATAGGGCCCCCAGAGGGCCTAAGAACGGCCCGGGGGGCCACTGAGACTGCTCAGGAGGGCCCCAGGAGGGGCAGTCCAAACTGACACATCGAGACTTTTCAGCCGCGATGGCCCCAATCGGGAGCGGCAAAGAGGGGGGGGGGTGTCCAAGAGGGGGGGGTGCAAATCATGACCGGCGGCATGTGCGTGGCCCAGCGGGGGGGCCAGGGACGCAATGAAATAAGAAGAGGCGCCATGAAATCTGGGAAATATCATGGCCCCCGCCATGATATCCACCCCCCCCTAGTCATCACCCCCCTCTTTGCCGCCCCCGACCCAAGTGGCCCCCAGTGACCCCCGGGGCATCCCCAGAATGCCCCAGAGACTTCTCCGAGGCTTCCAGGCCCAGGGGCCCCCGCAGGCCCATGGAGTCCCAGCAGAAAACTGCTCCAAAAGGTCCACTCCAGAACGTCCGAGAGGCCTCGACCCTGCCACGCCCCTTCTCTTTCGCGATCTCCCAGATCCTGCTCGACCCTCGATTCTCGATCGTCCCCTTTTCCCAATCCTCTGAGGAATCGACTCCCGGACCTCTCCTGGGGCGCGCAGGGAAATCAGCAGCGGCGAAGAGACGCCTCCGCCTCCGGGAGGCCCAAGAGAAGCGAACGACGAAAACAATTACTGAATCTCGAAGACTCCAACCTCGATCCGACCAAATTACGATTCAAACCGCTTCCTCTGGCCCCCTCGCGATATGCACCCGTCATCCCAGGATCCCACTTCTGGCGGCGGGGGGGCCGAAGTGCCCCTGCAGAGGTCCAGGACTGCGGAGAAACTCCTAACACCCCCCAGCGTCAAATCTCGAAGCCTCCACAGCCAGGACAATCGTCTGCGCGGGCTTCTCCTGGGATGAATCAGATGGCTTCTCCATTCTGCTCTTAGTCTGCGATATCCAGTCGCAAAGGGATTGGTCTTGCGGTTCAAACGGTTTTCCCAGGAGAGCTTCTTGGTAGTTCGCTGCCTTGAATGTTTGCCCTGCCTCCAAGTAGTTGGCACCTGTGATGCCCTCGCGTTTCTTTTAGTTTTCCAAAATTGGGCAACGTCTTTTGCCGTCTGGACTGGGTCAGGGCCTGCTGCGTCTGCGGACTGCGCAGGCTGATCTCGAGCCGACAGAGAAGATCGTGTTGTTTTGCCTGCCCCATTTCCATTCCGGGAGAGAACGCCCTTGGATGCAAGCTGTCCCTTCCACCAATTGACTCCTGCTGGCGAGGGCGGCTTCTGGTCAGGTTGGCCATCTCCTTTACCTTTGCACCGGACTTGGAACTTGGAGCCGCATGCTCCGCAACGCTGCTCGTCGTTAGCACAACAGGCCCGTCCATTGAACTGCGGCATTCAATGCAAACGTACTCACGACGGTCATGTTCGTATTATTTCTTCCAATCGGTGCCCATATCTGCTGCTCCCCGTGTCCCAAGACTCTCGCCTGAAGAACCCAATCAACTAATAACAAGCACTGCAAGAAGGAAAGTGCGGGAAAACAAAAACAACACCATTGTGACTGAGGTGAGGCTTCCTGAAAGCCTGGGTGATATGCCTCGCTTCTTCCTTTGAGGAAGAGCAGAGGGGGAATGAGGAAGAGAAGGAGTAAGAGGAGGGGGGGAGGAGGAGGAGGAGGAGGAGGAGGAGGAGGAGGAGGAGGGAGGAGGAGGAGGAGGAGGAGGGGCAGGAGGAGGAGGAGGGGGAAGAAGAGGAGGAGGGGCGGGGGAGGAGGAGCCGGGAATGAAGCCGCAATGCCTCGATAACTCGACGCCCGAAGCCCGCCCAGGCGGAGCGCCGCGGGACGCTCCTCGCCGGCCGCCCGCCGCGGCGTCGCACGCAGGCCGCGGGGGCGGCCGAGGCCGCGGCGGGTTCAGGGGCGGGAGCCGGGGGGCAGGCGCGCCACGGTCCTGAGCTGGGGGGGGGGCGCGGGCGACGACAGGGCCAGTTCTCCACCTCCGCCTCCGCCTCCACCTCCACCTTCTGCTCCTGCTCCTCCTCCGCTCGTCGACCTCCAGCGCGTCCTCTTCCTCCACCTCCTCGTCCTCCTTCTCCTCCTCCTCCTCCTCCTCCTCCTCCTCCTCCTCCATCTCTTTTCCTCTTTCTCTCTCTCTCTCTCTCTCTTTTCCTCTCGGCCTGAGGATCATCCTGACGCGGCCATCTCATCTTCCTCTGACACCTCCTCCAACTCCTCCTCCAATCCCTCCTCCTCCAAGTCCTCCTCCTCCTCCTCCTCCTCCTCCTCCTCCTCCTCCTCCTCCCTGTCCTCCCGAGTCTGAGGGGGGAGGTTAAGGAGGGGAAAGGGGGGCTATTCTGGCTGCTTCCCACCACCCGCGGGAGGGGGGCCGGCCCGAGCTCGCTGTCCGCCACGCGGCGGACGGCGAGCCGTGCACGTTC